TTATACTAAAAGATAGATCCTATAAAAGATAAAGTGAGCATAAGTTGTTGTTTCTAGATTATTTCAAATGGAAGAATTCTACATTTTCATTCTTTTATATTTTTCAATTATTTTCTATTTACAACACTATAAATGTAGATGTACAGATTCTCACTTCACATAAGCCCCTCCATTTCCATTTATGTTTTCACAGATGGTAATATTTCATTTTTCAATAGTTGAGTTATTCCATTGTGTGTGCAAACTACATCTTCTTTATCCTGTTGTCTATGCATGAGCATATAGATTTTTTTCCATAATTTAATATTGTAATGGTGCTGCAATGAATACAGGAGTGTATATAACCCTTAAAATTAGTGTCTTTTCATTATTCAGGACAAATACTGAGGCATGATATTTATATGAAAGCTCTATATTTAATATTTTGTGAGACTTTCATACTGTTTTTCACAGGGGTTGGGCCAGCCTACATTACCATGAACTCTAAAAGTGTTCCTATTCCTCTACATCCCGACCAACACTTGTTTCTGACCTTTTTCATATTTTCACCATGGTGATTTTTGATTTGCATTTCCCTTATGATTAACGATGAGCAATTTTTCATGTGCCATTTTTTTCATGTTCATTTGTATGACTCCTGTGAAAAAATGTTCAAGGGCTCTGACCACTTTATGATTGGAGTTATTTGTTTTTTTTGTTCTGAGCTACGTGAGTTCTCTGTAGAAGCCCATTCTCCCATTTGTCATGGAGTTTTCTTTCATTTTCATAACTTGCTTTCACAATGCAGAAGTTTTTAGTTAGGTATAGTCACATTTGTTTATTTTGCTTTTGTTTTATTTGCTGTTCTGATCAAATCCCTAAAGATATCACTAAAACCTATGTTCCAGTGTTTTGCCATGTTTTCTTTATGAATTTTATGATTTCAGGTGTTACATCCAAGTTTTTAATCTATTTTGTGTTAATTCTTGTATATGGTATAATGCAGTAGTCTAGTTTTATTCTTCTGTATATTGCTATCTAGTTTTCCCAGTAACATTTTTTGAATAGACTTTACTTCTCTGTTGTATATTCTTGGCTCTTTTGTTATAAATTTTTGCCCAAATATGTGTGGTTTTATTTCTGTACTCTCAATTCTATCCCATTGATTGATAAGTCTGTTTTTATTCCATTGCTACACTGCCTTGATTACTATAGCTTTTTGTTTTTAAGATTTATTTATTTATTCATACAGAACTCTGGGGTACAGGCCAGAGATGTGGAGAGTGAGAGGATTCACCAGGGACAGAGCAGGGAACAGAACAGGCAGATCGATGAAGTACACTGCTGAGGGGAGCTGCGGACAGGTCAGGAAAGGTCTGCCACACCATGTGGATCTCCTCAGGGGCAGGCTGGGATCGAACTCATGCGGAAGTAGCTTAAGCTTCTTAGTTCAGTGCTTTAATCCGCTGTGCCACCAGGGAGGGCCCGATTATTATAGCTTTTCATGATAGTTTGAAATTCTGAAGTTTGATACCGTTTTATTGTTAGGGTTGTTTTGTTTTTTAGAATCTTTTGTGGCTTCATAAATAATGGTTGTTCTGTAACATACATACTGTTTCTTATATTTTTGTGAGGAATGCCAGAAGAATTGAATAGGCTTAATTAAGAAGGCACTTTTTTTTTGTAGGCAATGATGGTAACAGGAACCACAGAACAATTTAACTTACAGCAAAGCAAAAATGTAAAACACAGATTATACTCTCAACATACTATTTACACATAGAATATGAACAACATTAAGAAAAATATAGCATCTAATACTATTAATGTCCACCAAATAATCAACTTCAAGAAGGCAAAATGGATTAAATCATCAAATTCTAGAGGCACCTGGAGGCTAATTATAATTCTTTCAGTCCAATTTCATATATTCCACAACAAATTTCCAGCTGAAGACTAAACAGTTTCCATTTCAGTCCACAAATAGATTGTTATTTCAACTTGCATTTCATATGCTAACTTGAGAAGTATTGACTTTTGCAGTAAGAAATGAAATAATGTTGTGGTGAGATTGCATCAAGAATTCATTTATATGGCATGGATTCCAGTAAACAGCAGGCTTGATGACCAAGTGGCAGTGAACCTAGAAATAAATGTGGATTCTTGTTCCTTAAATATTGGATAAATTCAAAAATATCAAAAATTTTCTTCTTTTTGTATGATACTGCTTTTATCTGGAATTTTTCTAAAGGATGTAGGTAGCATGTATATAAAGTAATGTGCTCATATTATAGGACTAAATGATAATCTCTCATTCAATACATTTTGTTACTATTTATCTTGAGTTAAAACTATCTATTTATAATGCAATTTAACAATGTAACTTCCAAAACCTCTAAGGCAAAGAGACAATGTAATTTTAAAATTTTCAACATACATTCATTAAAATTCTGCATTAGCATTATCTAGATATAGTTTGGAGGTTCTACAGTTATGAACTAGTGTTTAACTCCATTTATACTTGATTCTGCTGGAAAAGTCTCTAAAAGTAAAGCATTTTTTGGGCCCTCCCTGGTGGCACAGCAGGTAAATGCAGCACTAAGAAGCTAAAGCCACTTCAGCATGAGTTCAATCCCTGTCCTCTGGGGTGACCCATATGGCACGGCAGACCTCTCCTGACCCGCCCGCTGCTTCTCTCAGCAGTGTATTTCGTCAGTCAGCCTGTTCTGTTCCTCAGTCTCTCTGGTGAATCCTCTCACTATCACTACACCTCTGCCTGTACCCCAGTTCTGTATGCAGAAATAAATAAATATAAAAAAAAAGTAAAGCATTTTCAGGAACATAAGAAAGCTGAGATGATTTATATCCTATTGGTGCCCAAAATGTAGAAAAGTTTACCTAGGAGCAGCAAATCAGTGCAATTCACTAAGCAGGAATATAGATAACTTAGAAAAGTGAACTAACTGAAAATTAGTTTTTAATGAATGAACTGGTATATCCCTAAAACAAAAAAATATTGATCAATGTTTCAGGAGCTGAGCAGTTAAAAATGAAATAAATAAATAAATAAACAGAAAGATGACAGGAATGAAGAATGAGGCTTAATGAGGTTCAAATCAATAACACTGGAAAGAAAAAGATCTGGGCAGGAAGAGCTGATCAGAATATTTACAACTAATTACATACTAGCCAAGTGGAGAAGTCTAAGGGACACTGAGTAATCAATGATGTCTATGATGTTTGGGATTGGAAAGGTCTGTGTTCCTCTCAACAATGATGAAATCACTGAGCAAATGTGAAATCTTAAATTACTTAAGCATTCTGTTCTGCTACATTTAGCTTTAATTGACAGACTATAAACTAATTCCTAATAACAACTTCAGATGAAGTTGATTTATTTTTTAAAGATTGATTTATTTATTCATACAGAACTGGGGTACAGGCCAGAGATGCGGAGGGTGAGAGGATTCACCAGGGACAGAGAGGGGAGCAGAACAGGCAGATCGACAAAGTACACTGCTGAGGGGAGCAGCGGGCGGGCCAGGAGAGGTCTGCCATGCCATGTGGATCTTCTCTGGGGCAGGCGGGGATCCAACTCATGCATAAGTGGCTTTAGCTTATGCATGAGTGCTGTGCTTTAATCCGCTGCACCAACAGGGAGGGCCCGAAGTTGATTTTTAAACTCTATCCTGTTTTACTTTGGACTTTGTTCTACCTTCTCATATTTTTGATTATTATTTTAATAAAGAAAATATTGTCTATTTTCTATTCCTTATGAGAATTAAAAAAAAAATCAGAAGTTTCTTTCAAGTGACCTTAATCTGCTCATTTGGCCTTCTATAAATAACAATGTAAGGGGACCTCTCTGGTGGCTCAAGGGTTAAAGTACAGCACTATGAAGCTGTCTGTAGCCACTGCAACACAAGTTCCATCCCCGACCAGGGAGCTGACCCACATGGTGCAGCAAACTCTTCCTGTCTCGCTGGCTGTTCCCCTCAGCAATATATTTTAGTTAATATACCTGTTCTACTCCCCACTCTGTTTCTGGTGAATCCTCTCACCCCACCCCACATCTCTGGCCTGCACCCCAGCTCTTGTATGCATAATAAATAAATCTTTTTAAAAAAACAATGTGAGACCCAAAGAGCATGGGGTAGATGGGGACACTACCTTAGCCAACTCTCTAGAAAATGATATGCTTTCTGGAGCATTGTTGGTTGATTACTAGCAGTAACCAGATGGATACTTACACTGTCTCCCCAGGTCACTGATGGAAACAAGTTCTGGAATTTGTCTTAGTTTTTCTGCTGTAATATGCTCTAAGAGAGTATTCCAGTTTGAAATTATCCTGACATTTCAACATAAAACTGCCAGTATATACTACTAGGTTTAATGTAATTCAGTAGCTTTTCCTTAATCACTGTATTTAGCTTTATATATATATATATATATATATAATTTGCTACGTAACCAAACCACCTGGTATGCCAAGGTCATTATATGTATTACACCAATACTGAAACTTAGCCCCCCACCTTTTACATGGAGGCTTCTGGTTTTTGACCCTTATTAATGGTCCCCACAGTTAAGAGGGTATAAAAGTTAAACACAAAGAAGCAATAAGTCACATAGTGGACACATTTTCTCCCATCTTTTCATTTCCTTAAAGGAACAGTGCAACCGAAATGAAGAAAACAAATTATTGTTGAGTATGTACAAATAAGATTGTAAGTTATTATATTAATGTGACAAATATTGTTGTCAAAGATATCCTTTTAACTTTGAGATAAATACTTTATTTCACTGAGTTAATCTAATGCCCCTTGAATTAAGAATAAAAATGTCTTTAGTTGCATTAGATAAAAGAAAGAACAACTTTTCTGATGATTTTATGAAAGGTCTATGCTGCAGTTATTCAATGAATATCAGTATTAAAATGATAGTTTTATATAGCTAAATAGTATGATATAAATAGTACCTCATATTTCATTATCTTGTATAAAATACCTTGTCTTTGTTAGATTTTGGCAAAGAAAATAGCACAAATGATCCTGAAGATTCTGCGGATACCATAAGACATTATCAGAGTTCCAGAAAACACTTTGAAGAGAAAAAAAGCAGATCTTCATCATTTATCTCCTCCATTGATGATGAACAAAAGCCTCTCTTCTCAGGAATAGTAGATTCTCCACCTGGAATAGGAAAAGCAACTAGACTCAATTTTGAAGAAACAGTGCCCACCTCAGGAAGAATTCACATAGATAAAAGAAGTCAGTCTTGCAAAGGTAATCAAAATTCACTACACTGATACATGGCAATCTCGCCTTTTATAATTTCATGAAATATCCTTGAAAGAGTTCAGATTTCAAATCATCTACAAACACTTGTAGATTCTGGAACAGTGGTAATTATTCCCCCAAAATGATAGCATAAGAGGTTTCTGTGACTAATGAGATATAAGGTAATGTCACACAGAACATGGTGGGATGACTAATATTATGGATTCGAATTAAGAAAGGAACTGAACGAATATTTTAAGAGAGCAATGTACTTGATTCTTGGATATACCTCACCCATAGTCCTGTTGTTTTATAAGTCAAAGCAGTAGCACTACAGCAAATCCCCCCCCACCCTGGCCAAAAAAAACCAACCATACCTTATTGGGAAAGAATATCTCTTAAGTATATTCTTGAGTTAACTCATATGGAACACATTTATTTAACATCATTATCAAAAGGAATACAAATGTATACAGGCTTTCTTATAGAAAATATGTATGAAATGGGTAATCATTCTTTTTTTTTTTTTTTAAGATTTATTTATGCTTACAGAACTGAGGTACAGGCCAGAGGTGCAGGGGCAGTGAGAGGATTCACCAGAGACAGAGTGGGGAGTAGAACAGGCAGATGGACAAAGTCACTGCTGAGGGGAGCAGCAGGCAGGTTAGAAGAGGTCTGCCACACCATGTGGGTCAGGAATCAAACTGTGCTGCAGTGGCTTTGGAGAGCTTCATAATGCAATACTTTAACCCATTGTGCGACCAGGGAGAGCCCATAATGCTTCTTTATTAATATATGCAGATTAAATCTAAGGATGGGAAACTCAAGAAAACTTTCCTTTCATAGAAGAGAAATTAATTTAGCACAGCAAGAACCAGACTGACTTCCTTAGGTCTCTGGTTATATGTTTGCAGAGCAGGTATGGTTCAGATTGTTTGGGAACAAGCCCTAACTGTCACTTCCTGCCTTTAGACTTTGGGTAAGTTGACAGAACTCCACTAAATTAAATTTGCACATCTTTAAAATAGGAATATTTTTCTATTGAGTATTTTAAAATGATAGCATAGGTAAATTACTTTCCATGGAATATAATCTTCAAATCAGTGTTTTTATTTTCTCACGAGTTTTGTTTTCTAACTATTTAGTAGTTTACTATATGCTTAGACATATATACTATACAAGGACTACATTTGACAACAATGGTTTTGTTGAATCTAAATCTGTGAATCTATAAATGTATGGAAATCTATTGAGCCTATAAATCTATGTTTATGCTATACATTTTTTAAGAATTACATTCCCTATCTTATCAAATCAACTTTTGCCATTACCCAAAATGGAAGTAAGCTCAAAATATATGTAAATGTTCTCTGGACAATCTAAAATCTTGATGAAGTGAATGAAAATAGTACATCATTTATCACAATGGAAGAATGGAATATTATATGTGATTAGTGAACATCCCATTTTAGTTATTTATGAAAACGGATTCTAGGACTGTTAAAAATAGGAACAGGTGGTATTGTAGAAGTTAGAGTTCTGAAGAACTTACTGAACTCTACTATCTCCAACAGCTAGCATAACATGAGCCTGATTCTTTTTTAAAGTGCTTTCTTTTTCTTCCTCATATGTTTCATAGTTTCAAGTGTTAAGTCATTAAAGATGCATTTTTTGGATTTTATTGGACTTTGTCACTGACAGTGACTTTGCAGCCTTTCATCATATATTTTTTGTCATATCTTCCAATTATTTTTAATTAGCTTGTTATGTATACACAGTATTTTAATAAGTAACTTTAATATCTATAAATTTTTTGGTCTAAAAAACAAACAATGCAATCCCTATTCAAATAATAATTACCTTGAATATGCATAGCTAAATATGCATTTCAATGCAATGAATATGTGGAGTCACATATCAGTCATTGTAACAAATGGTTATCCTTGTTAATTAATAAGATCAACCAGTAGAGAATCTAGAAATTCATTCACACAATTCACACAATTTTATTTTCTAATGATCTTTTAAAAGGTGAAGTACTATGGGGGAATTGAAAAATTGAAATAACATGTAAGGTATATTGAACTACTATAGTTTCACATGTTTGGTTTTGTTTTCAATAGAAAATTTCACTTCCTCCAATTCCTGGCATTTGTCATCCTGAATTCAGCAGAAGAGCACCTTTAGGCAAAACTAAAAAGAAAAAAATAAATAAATAGAGAGTAATCTAACTTGGATTGAGGTCAATAGTTGACTGCAGGAAAATTGTGTATACAGAGAAAAGTGAAAGTTTACTTTCTGTACATCCACTTTCAGAAATGTCTTGCAACTATAGCAACATTTTCCAAGGCAACCAAGTGCAGATTCTTTCTGAGCTATATTTAGAAAGTTTCTACAAGGATGTTCATTTTGATTAAGACCACTAACCAAGATTTTCCCTTGAATCCTTTTTATTTTTCATATGTTATTAAAGCAAGCTAATCACACATCTGCGTACTTTAATAAAACAACAAAATATAATCAAGCCTCCACTAGTAGTTTACATTTTATTCACTTCTGATAACAGAAAAAAATCAGTTTTTTCTTGAACTTTAGCTGAAGTAAAAAGTACATTCCGGCCCTCCCTGGTGGCGCAGCGGGTTAAAGCACAGCACTGAGAATCTGAAGCCACTTCCGCATGAGTTCAATTCCCGCCTGCCCCGGAGGAGACCACATGGCGAGCCAGACCTCTCCTGACCCGCCCGCTGCTTCCCTCAGCAGTGAACTTCGTCGATCTGCCTGTTCTGCTCCCCACTCTGTCTCTGGTGAAGCCTCTCACCGCCTCTGTGCCTCAGTTCCAAATAAATAAATAAATCTTAAAAAAAAAAAAAAAAAAGTACATTCCTACATGACTTACTATATGCAACTTACCATCTTCATTTAAAAATTGATGCATGATTTTTATTGGATAATAAGAGTCCTATTATGCAGAATTTTCATTCTGTAAATTTTCGTGGCACAAAATTTCTGAGCATAATATGTATTTTTATTCAATTTGTTATTGTTTTCTAGAAAAGTTCCCATATTAACTGGTTAGCAGGAAGCTAGACAGGGACAAGAACTGGCATCACCAAATCATTTATATATTTGTTCTGAATGTTACTTTGGCATTGTTGCTCCAAAGTTGAAAAGCTAGTGTACTAGGACATTATATTATTGCTTTGCATTTTAAATTGCCACATTTCTCTAAATAATGAATCATACTTTACAGCAAAAATCTGCTGAGACATTACTTAAAACTCTAACAATATCATTTTCTATGTTCATTTAGTTACGTTTGCTAAAATGTTAAAAGATAAACGGTCATTTAAAAAACAAAATGAACAAAATCCTCAAGATTTTGTTCAAGATTTCATAGGTTGGAAGCCGTATTCACAAAGAAACATTCTGAAATTCATAGCCGGTCTCTTAGACATTTCAACAGAACAAGGAATTCTGACCTTTTATTTTCCAACACTATCATTCAACATGATAATCCCTTTGGTACCACTTCATTCAACTGAGGCAGAAATTGTAGGCACTTAGTTAGAGAAATTTCTGTGTGTGTATTCAGTGATAACAGGCTAATGATAAAAGGATGGAAAAACCATGAAGAGATGATACAGAAGTTAGTTCTGTTGCTTGAAGTAAGGGGACACTTTGAGCTCTCCTACTGTACTTTTGGAGAAACTATAGGAATGAAGGGACTTCAAGATGTCTTACAAATCCTGCTCCCAGTTTCCAGAATCATAGTTAATCCTCCCCAAATCCGTTACTTTCTATCCAATTTTTTTAAATAGCTGAGGATATAAATTGCTTAACGTTACATAACTTTTGTCAGTGTTTAATCATAGCTACTTGAGGGAGAAAAATTCGTTTTATCAAACCAAATTCACATTCTGTAGCTCAAATCTATTTCCATGTGAAATGGAAACCAGTTTTAGATAGTTTTCTCCTCCTACCATCCTTCCCAGTCAGGAAAAAATGTCATATGGCTCTCTCTTCTCTAAAATAAACTTCCAAATCCACTATTGTTTTTTTCATGGATTTTATTTTTTCAACCCTTTAATCATTTTAAGTCCCTCTCTGATTATATAAAATGTAGATGGTAAGAAAGTGTAACAAAACTATATCAAAAGTAGTGCAAAAGTAAGGCAAAAAGTAAAATTATTTCCTGCTCTCAAGTATTGACAACTTGAAAATACAGATTTTAGGATAAAAAGTAAATTAAAAGAAGCTCCAAATGAACCTCTGTATGAAAAAAAAGATCAAAACCTTGCTGAACTGAATTTTTCAAATTCAGAGACTGTCTTCTTTATCTTGAATTCTTCCACATTAAGTAGTATCAGGTACATAACAGACACTTGGGATCTTTGAAAAGTATACTTGAACAGGAGTGATATTTTTAAAGTATATTAATATGAAAATATTCTAAATAAGAGAACCACGAAGAAAAATTATTAACAATTAATGTGAGTCTATTAAAAGTCAAAGTAAAAAGAACTATAAAGAATTATGAAATAATACCATAAGATTAGAGAATTTTTATGATGTTTGGTTTTGTTTGTCTTCTTAATTGTCTTATTTGTTTACTTAGTTTACAACACTGTATATAATATTGAGGTAGAGATCGCACTTCTTCAGATGTGTATTAACACCACACCCAGCTTTTAAAACCATGGTTATGGGTTCTTTGGTGAGGGCTAAAGAGTGGGTTTGGTATAGTAACATATTAATACATATGAGAAATATGAACTTGTACTTCTAAATCATATACAGTGGAATAAATCAGTAGTACCTCAATTTAAAACATATAATAAAAATAAACAGAACTGTTCTAGGAATTTTTATAAGATTTATTTGATTTATTTATGCATACAAGAACTAAGGTACAGGCTAGAGGTGCAGGCAGTTAAGGGGATTCACCAGAGACAGGGAGCAGAACAGGTGTATCGACTGAAATCCAATGCTGAGGGAAGCAGCAGATGAGACTGGAGAGGTCTGCAGCACCATGTGTGCTAGCTTCCTGGCTGGGGATCGAACTCATGCCACAGTGGCTGATGATAGAGTGACAGCACTGAGACTTTACTCCCTGTACCACCAGGGAGGCCTTGTTTTTCATTTGAGTTCAGTTGACTAAAGAGAAATTCCCAGAATATCAAGTACTACCCCCATGACTCTCAAGTTGAGGAGATCCTGAATTATAAAGTATGAACATTGGGGGGGTGGGGGTGAGGACTAAATCTTATACTCAACATGAAGCAGTACAAACAAAATGTGCTATTTCATCTACAATATAAAAATCCCCAATTCATAACTCTCTAGCCAGAGTATTAGGCTTATCAGTCATGTTTTCCTTAGCACAAACTGAGGCTGATGCAAAGGAGCACCCAAAAATGCTGACATCCACCTTGCTGTTTTCCACAGACATCGCTGACACCAGGAGCTGGGAAAGAGAAAATGCCCAGACTCAGGCTGAGGAGTCCAGCCCATCAGCACTTCAGAGAGCTGCCTGGGGGATCTCTGAAACAGAAAGTGACCTCACATATGGTGAAGTGGAGCAAAGATTAGATTTGCTTCAAGAGCAACTTAACAGGTATAAGTGATAGAGGAACAAAGAGAACCCAACACAAACCTGTAGTTGGCAATCGTTTTACAACTTCTGAAGAGCAAGTTCCTACAGCCAGAAACTGATAATTTCCTTATATGGTTACTTTTTTAAATTAAGACCAGAAGCTGACAAAATTATTAATCTGTGTTGCAAAGAATATTTATTTAGAACCCTTCATGCTTCTGAAAGGGAATCCTATTTTTGTTTTACTTGCCATAAAATTAGTATATTTCCTGCTCTACCGCCTGAAAAAACTCTTTATTCCCCCCAAATAATTCATATTTAGCTAGCTGACTAACACTCTTCTTTTAATTCTTCTTTTGTGCTATGTAGTCATTCCTAGTAATTTAGCTATATGTTGTGGCACTTTTTTTTTTAAGAATTGATAAAATGATTTAAATATTTTGCTATTCAGTCAACTTCTTTAAAACATGATTTAGTTGAAAATCCTACCAAGCTGAAACCCAGGTGCTCTCTATTTTCCCTCCATCTTTGATTCGTGACCCATTTAAGATGAGTAATTTTTGATGTGGGGGAAAATGTAATCCTTTAACCCAAATCTGCATAAATTCCTTAAAATTAAACTGAGTGGTAAGATTCAGAAATAAATAAATAAATAAATGTGATATAGGGCTTCCCCCCCCCCCCTTGTTTGACCTTCATGTAGCAATGGATCTTAATTCAAAGTAGCTTCCAGGTATCACTGTGCAAGGTATTCTTTTGGTCACATTTGGAAATTTTACATGGCTAAAACTAAAAAGCTCAAGTTGAACAATTTTAAAAGAAGATAAGGGAGGAGGATGGCCAGAGCAGGTAATTAGTACCTCTCCAATAGAAGCAATCATGTTAAAAGAACCAAACTACCTGCATCCTGCTTTACATAATCAGCCTTTTCAACTGATGAGGACCAGTGTAGACATTTTCACAAAATTTCCCTGTGCCAGTGACCTGCGTTTGCTATCCACACAGATGTGAAGCTACCTGCACCTGTGACTCTCCAATTAGCCTGATGAACAATCATGTGCTTCATTGACCTTTCGTAGGTCAAGAACATGTAAAGCCAGAGTCAGTCTTCACTGTGTGTCACCAACAGGGAACCAAATGTGAGGTGACAGTTGTCTACCCAGCTGTGACTTCAGAATAATTTATTCTTCCCACCTCTCTCTATAAGCCACACTATTGTTTTTTGCATCATATTTCAATTCTGTTTTGAACATGTTACAGGCTAGACCATGCCGGCAGTATTGAATGCTACTTCTGAATTCTGCCCAAGTCTAAGAAGCTGCTTGTTTATTTGTTACCTGTACTTAGCACATTTTATTAATTTTGCCTATACCATATTCACTACTGGTTTACTTTCTACTTAAGATAATGCATCTTATTCATGTTGTTTGTTGTTTTGTTTTTAATTGTTTTGCCAGAATTGAATGGTGCCAAATAGTACAGTTAACACATTAAAATGTGAACATGCACACATATGTATTAACATGAAACTTAATTGAGTTTAAAATTGCCTGGTACTGCAGTCCATATTCCATTCCCAGTGCCAAATTCAACTTGTATGAAATTGAAACATACTTGAGAAAATTAAAACAGACTGTCCTTTTAGAGTTAAAAATTTCTACTTAAATACAAGAATTAGCCTTGATGACAAGTATTTGTCAGAGAAGTATACTTACTGATTTGAGTAGTACATTCACTTTTTTCTCTCCCTAGCATTAATTCCAAACCAGATTGATCTTTATCATAAGAGATATAAAAACACATACTGTCTAACATAAAAAAATTGACACAGTGGGGTCTCTGAACAAAAACTTCTTTGATACCTGTGTCAAAGACAAAATACCTGTTCACTTCTTTACTGTCAGGACATATGGCATGTATTCTGTTTGTAAGTAAATAAAAAAGAAAATAAATAAGTAAATGATCAAACAGTGATTTCTCCAGAAAAAAAAAATATTCTCATAGTTCATAGAATTGCTTAGTCTAACATCTTACCTCTGCTGCTTAACTTCTTATAGTGTGTCTAGACAAATTATTTAAACTTCTCCACCCTTAGTTTCTTTGATACCTACTTGCAAGGCTGTTGTAAGTACAGAGGTAATATGTATGGAAACTGTATGTCATACAAAATAAAGTACAATAGTGTTGCTGTCCTTGCAGTCAGATAAAATTTGACTAACAAAACTTCACCTCCATCATTGTTGTATTCTCCTACTTTACATGTGTTTTCTGATCTGACTTAGACCTTTGTTAGGACAAATTTGAAATTTTAGAGTTCCCTTGTTGCCTTGTCATAGGTATCAGTCATTTCTTATAGAATTAGCCACAATGTGTTTTTAATCACAAAGGGGCTCCAAGTATAAACTGTTTAAGGAAACATTCATCCAGGACCAATACTTATTGTCATTTTATTATTAGTTTTTAATTACTGTCATATAAATTTTGCCCACAACTGAAATGCAGTTAAATCTCCTTTGACATGCTTCCAGCAACTGTGCATTCTCTGACATAATTCTTTGACTAATTTCTTTTGTATTTGTCTCTGATATTTTCACTGACAGTTTCTTGCCTAACTCAATTTAACCTTTTTTGGATCAAAAATATAAAACCCTAGCTTTATATCTAACTACCATTTCTAAAAACTTCTTTCTCTGCTCTATTATAGAAGACAGATGTATAAAATCTAAGTGTGAAGAGGGCACCTCAGTTTAGACTTAACTTTGCAGGGTGAGAAATATTGGGATGCATTCTAGAGCTGAGTCTGACCTGTCTCACTCAGCATTTTGTTCAGGGTGGCACTATAAATTTCTAAACCATTTGTCTCATCCAAATTCACCAATGAAGTACATAATGTAATAAAAACCTGTAAATGGAATACCTTGATTCATCCTTGCTTCTTTTCTGCTTTAATGGCCAATTAAACTAGAAGTAGGGTTAAAGGTGTACATATATATTTATATATTATACCTTCATATTTAGGACTGTCATTAACATTGATCCTAATGCAGGTCTTCTCAAACTTGAATGTGCTTCAGATCACTGGGGATCTTGCTAAAATGCAGATTATAAGTCAGTTCTGGAATAGCAGAGATTCTACATTCTAACAAGATCCCAGCTCTGACCACACTTTGAATAGGAAGGCCCTGGAGGATGCAAAAGCTTTTAGTAATGATTCCATCTTGCAAAACACCCAGGGCAACTTATCCATGTGCCTGCAACATGGCAATGAGCACTTGCTTTACCTTGTATTATTTATTCACTTCCTTCATTTTTCATTCCTAGGTGGTTAGTTCCTATAAATTTGCGATCACAGTCCATATTTATTCATCATTTGTTACCTTCTCCCTTCCTATTAAACACAGTGACTGGTGCATGGAGGGTCTCTGAGTAAGTGAATGAAGACATTTGACAGCTGTATAGCTACATCAAGGAAGAAAAATAATTTTCTCTCTGCCCTTAGATGTTCTTGATTGCCATTCCTGTAATAAACAGGAAAAACAAACAAACATATTAACATATGTAGATATAAAGCTACCCTGGAGAAAAGGGGTAACTAAGGATTAAAACCATCTTAATAGAGGTAAGGAATGGTGTAGGTAAGTGTCATAGAGGAGAGTAAAAGATCTTTTGAAAGATGAATGGGACCTTAGAAGATTAGAGAAGAGAAATGATAGTTTCAGTACAATTTATCTGAGTGAGGTATCCAGTCTTCTTCATTGATGAAACTTCTAGGGAGAAACTTTATAAAAATTGAGTTAATTTTGAATCATCTGTCTTTAGGCAAATAAAAGAAGTTCAGAGATAGTCTCTCCCTGCATTTGTTATTTTCCAGGTGCATGCAACTCAAAATAACCAGTATGTCAAGCTGACATACTGACATGGTTATTTTGGGGTGGCATATTCTGCTGCTGCTCACTAATATATATAATATTGAGCAATTATTAAAGTCTAAGCTTTAAATTTTACTAAGTCTAAATTATAGGAAAAAAATTGCTCTAATTCCTCTAAATAAATTAGATAATATAATTTTAGTAGAAAATTATATTAAAATTAAGCCAATAACCTCTAGACATAAAAATTGAAAATGTAACCTATGCATAGTAAAGAAGAAAGTCTTACTAAAGCTCCCTTTCCTTGAATGACTTTGGCTGCTAAAACAAAAATACCATATACAAATTATAAACAATAAAATCTTTCTATCTGTCAATCTATCTACCTAGTCTGGAGGCTGTCCAAAGTCCAAAGTCAAGGTGCCAGAATATTCACTGTCCAGTGAGAGCCAGCTTCTTGGTGCAAACATGATCACCTTCTTGCTATATAATCACAGAGGGAAAGAAGGGAGTGCTCTGCAGCCTTTTCATAGGAGTGAAATCGATTCAAAAAGGCTCTATCCTCAAAATGTAATCACTTCCCAAAGGCCCCCTCCCAACTTTTAATATCACATGGTTGATAGGAGTTCAACATATGAATTGGGGGGATATAAATATTCAGTCCAATGCACTGAACTACCCAACACATTAGACAACTGGTTATTAAAAAACGCTAGGTATTCAGAATCACTGCTGGAAGGGAGGCCAACATCTTAAATTTAAGTGTTGTTTCAGAAGTGAAAAATATAGGATATTTACAGGACTTTAGAGTCTGGTCTGGGACTTCAAGGTAAAGAGCTGATTAGAATTGGGACAAAGTACATAATATGCTTAATAGTTTGGAACACAGTAAGTAGAGAATCTTGAAACTTCTGGATAAATAACAATTATTTGATTAGCAAGTAATTTGTTCAGCAGAGGACTCTCCAATGAGTTGATCTGTAAGAACTTTCTGACAGAGTTAAATTATTTATTCAGTTAGTTTTATTTTTTCCAGGCAAAGTTTTCCTAGAACAAACAACAAAGTCATGTTGACAGAGGCGGACTGCTGTTTGATCTAAGTCACATTGACACAAACAAATCACCCTGCACCAGCTGTTTCCCTTACACATGACATTTTTGGGGGAAGAGTCCCCCCCAATAGTTGCATGTATCAATTACTGAAATTCCACCTTCCAGTAGGTTTGTCTCTCATAGGCTTTATTCAAATAGTTAGAATCCATGATATAGAGATGTTATTTCTCAGAGACTACTATTGTTTGACAGAGGTTTTATGGGACATAAGGCATTACCACAATCTCTGACTTTCTGGTGGGTCTTGAACCCCATTTGATGATGATGTTTCTATCCCCCCATTGCTGCCAAATTCTTTTACACTCAGTGTAATTAAGAATTTTGTAAGCCACTTGTTAAACATTAAATGCTGTTACTGATAGGGTAAGAAATGCTTACGATGAAGTCTGGATGTTGAATTTTCTTTAATGGCTCAAAGGAATGAGAAATTAGTTCTGAAGAGAATTAGGAAAGATTTTCAGATTCAGATAAAATTTAAGCTAGGCATTGAAGAGTGAAAGAATGGTGCACAACAATGAAATAGCAAGTCAGTCGAGTTTAGATTAACACCATAAAAAAATTAAACCTACAGGTACCAAGTAGATAAATAAGCTAGTTGAAAAGACATTTTTTTGCTCTCAGTTTGCAGTTTTGTAGTTTGTAAGCCATAATCATGTGTAATTTATAGCTGTTAGAAGACACTAAGATATATGGCTATATATACCAAATAAAGAATATCTGTAATGATAATATGCTATGATTCTCAGAAGGAAGTTAAATAGTGCCACTTAGCACAAAGAACTAGAAAGAAAGAAATCTTTTTTCATATTTTCCAGGTTTATCCTTTTCAAATGAAAGACTGTTATCTCCACTTTGTATTCCACAAATAATAGATGTATATCATCAAGTAAAATCAGTACTATAATTTTTTTAACATTGCTGGTGAGATTTACCTTCCCTTGGCATATTTTATTCGAACACAAAGAAAATAAGTAATAAATTAAAAAGAAGAGCTTTCTAAAGAAGCATCTGGTCCACATTTTCTGTACTTATGCCCACAAAATTCCCTCTGTTTTTAATGTTGTTAACACATGCAAAGGAGGAGGATTAGAACCTATTGTATTTTGCTGTTTTTCCTTGAATCTTAATTTCAAATGAGAATGATGTTAACAGACTATTTGATTACTTGTGAGCTTTGAGGGGTTGGTGGGGAATGATCAGACTGGTATTTCACAAGCTAGCTAGGTCACAGAAGCAAGTAAACCTTTACAGTTTGGTCTGTTTCTTAAATACCAAAGGCCTTGAACTGTGGATGCTAAATGTTAGCATTTAACTGCACTTAACATTAACAAAAGAATACAATGAATAATGTACAGCACTTGATATGACTAGAAAAGAAGCAAAGTAAGTAAAAATAATATAAATTTTAAACATAAAATTTTGCAGATTTTTTTAAAATCTGTTTTTTAAAGTATAAATAAAATGCTCACAAGAAATTGAGCAAAGCCTTACTAAAAAGCAAAAGAATGCCTAAAAACATTTTTGGCATGTTTTACATTTTTAAATCAATAAAGGTGAGTAAAAATGTGATCTATTCCATTCCACTGTTTTTCTGTTCAGATCTAATTAGCAGGAAAGCAGTGGTCTTTATCAGAGCCACTAGTGAGACAAAAAATGAACATCAACTGGGAGAGAATCTTCGTGCTCCCTCTCCTGTCCTTCTTGTTTAAAGCAGGATCATAATTCTGTGTGTTAGTCGTTTCAGTCAGTGCTGAAATTTCTCAAATGTTTTGCAGTCCTTGACTGTTTTAGAACTGTCTTCCCTCACCCCCTTCTGTCCTGCAGACTGGAATCCCAAATGACTGCTGACATCCAGACCATCCTACAGTTGCTGCAGAAACAAACCACTGTGGTGCCCCCAGCCTACAGCATGGTGACGGCAGGAGTGGAGTACCAGAGACCCGTCATCCGCCTGATGAGAACCAGTCATCCTGTAGCTTCCATCAAGACTGATCGAAGCTTCAGTCCTTCCTCACAAGTGAGTACAGAGAGTGTACAGAATGCCTCCTCAAAGGGTGTTTCCAGGGCCCCCGTGAATCAGATTACCTAAGATACGATGGCAAAAGCAGAGTCCCATCACCAACTCTTTCTACTTAATTAGAGCTTTGGGGAATGGCCCCTAGTATCTATTTGCAGCAAGTTCAGGCCTGAAGTTTGTTCTAGTGACAGGAGACTGGGCAGAGTCAGGAAGAAGAGGTAGAGAAATAGCAACTGTCCAGAGAAGACTGAGCACAAGTACAGGTAGACCAGCAGCCATATGCGTGCCCTACCTGTCACCCGTGAGCTCTATGTTTTTCTCATCCTGGTGAAGGGAGGAATGATGCCAAAGTGAAGTGTTCTTTATCCTGTCTCTGAAACCTTCTTTTGAGTTATGCTAATATGAAGTCTAACTCTCTTGGAATTCTATTTAGAGAATTTTTTTAAATTGCTGAAATGCTGTGGCCAAATTGGACCTAAAATGGTGATTTTAAGTAGGCCCTGACAAAACAATCCTGTCAAGCTTTTTTAAAGAAGTTTAGGGATTTAGCAAAAAAAAATATTTTAGGAAATGAAACTACATTATAACAGGATGGTATATGCCAGAATGAAAATAATGCACTCTTTCTAAAATGTGCAAGTAGACATTAATTTATCTCCAATTAGTTTTGAATGACTGGGAAACATGCAAAACCATGTTCTTTGTTTTCAGTGGGCTTAGATAATATTTTCAAACGAGAGATGGGTGATTTTCCTCCTTTTTTTTCTTTTTTCACTTTTTATACCCTCCCTCCCTCATCACCAAATGGTCCAATTTCCCAACCCAGTCTTGTGTTGAATTTTAAATCAAAATCATTAGTAAAATTGAGTGTAAAATAATTTTAAATATATGATCTGACTTCAGAGTAAAAGCAGTGTCCTTGGGATGATTGTTTAGCATCATCTAAACTGATATCCAACCTCCAATATCTTGACCCATCTTTAGGAAAGAATAGTACGACCATCCAGTACAGACTTTTGGGGAAAAAAACACTTATATTTCAGGGATGTAATTTTAGAAACCTGTTTCAAAGAACTTGAAAAACATGTTTTCTTTTCTTTCTATCAGTGTCCTGAATTTCTAGACCTTGAAAAATCTAAACTTAAGTCCAAAGAATCCCTCTCAAGTGGGGTGCATCTGAACACAGCTTCGGAAAACAACTTGACTTCACTTTTAAAACAAGACAGTGATCTCTCTTTAGAGCTTCACCCTCGGCAAAAAAAAACTTACCTTCATCCAATTAGGCATCCTTCTTTGACGGAGTCCTCCCTAAGCACTGTAGGAATCTTGGGTCTTCATAGGCATGTTTCTGATCCTGGTCTTCCCGGGAAATAATCATTTTGTACTATTCACTCCACATACAATGTAAGTGCTTTTAATGGCTGTTTTCCTTTTTCTATTTAAATCCTCTCTACTTGACTCAGGGGCTCACAAGTTACCATTATATGCAAAAGTACTGTATATTTTCCTAAATTGAAGCTTGTATGGTAAAATTGAGCAGTTAGGATGTAAATATACATATGAACTCTTTTGTTCCAAATGTTAAAACTGCCAGCATCTCAAGGCACCTTATTTTTTATTTTTATTTTTTAAATCATGTGCATGTTAGGAAACTCCAGTTTCTCTTGCATGGAGACTCCTATTTACTTTTATTAAACCCGTACTTTGTTATGAAAATGCCTTCCAAGCAAATAAGAAACCAAGGGATAAAATTGTTCATGGATGCAACACAGATGATCCTCAACTCATGGAAGCTCAAGGGGGAGAAAGGGAATGTAAGCACTTTTGACAACAGAGACAATTTGATATCAAAATGACTATAATTAATTACATTCATGTACAACCCTGAAAAAAAGCTACAATCTCTGAGTATAGGAAGCCATCTCCAACTACATGTCATATAAGCTGCATTCATGAGTAGGAAAGGACCTTTCTGTTTAAAATTTTGTCACGAAGTACACTACAGATACACTGAAAGTAGCTTCCATTGATCCATTCCCTTCAATGGTTAAAAAGAAGCTTTTTCTAATTTTCTTCTTTGGAGGGGAGAGTCTCCTTCTGACTGTTAAAGCGCTACTGTTACAAATTAATATGCACAGCTTTTTTCTGATTCATGTTTTAGGGCAATTCTGCATTTGATCCAACTAGTGGGTGCATACAGTTTTCAAAAAATGTGCAACTTATGTAGCAGAACTGAGTTCCATAAGTGCTATTGTTCCAGGCTGTGGGTAACAGGGTGCATTTAACTGCCTATAGAGAGATGAGCACAGCAACAATAAAATTTCAGTTTTACCTGACTATTGAAAGATTAACTAAAAATATATTATATATGGACTGAGCTAAATACATATTGCTCCCAGAATACTACAACATATGATGGAATATATCCCAGTATTTTCAACTTTTAGATATTAAGGGGTGTGTAATTGGCCTCTCATAAGATCAGAGTGCAGAAAAAATTGCAAGTTAATTTAAGATTCTGATTAGTAAAGTTTTGGTGATAAAATTCTATTTTTCAATTCATCTGAGTACAATTTTAAACTTATAGATCACTCCATTATATCCTTTCCTTTTGAACTAAAAGTTCGAATTTTCTTAGTTTTTTATTCAGTCTTATATGCAAATATATCTTTAAAGAAATATATATATATATATACATTATGAAATTGATTAATTGTTATCCTTAAGGGATAAAAATATAATCTACTTTACTTTTTTTTATTTTTAAGTGGTCACATTAATTTGATGATCTGTGTGCAAGGCAATCCTGAGGTGTAGGTATGTATTTACCCTGCTTAGTTTTCAGAAAAACAAAATATAAGTGAAAAGTATACAGTTCTAATCAGTTTTCCCAGAACATTTGGTGTTATTCATAAGCAACTTAAGGACTACAGGATGCTTTCCTTTGTTCAATCAGCAAACATTTATGAGTGTCTAGCAGGGTAAAGAGTAGTGACTAGCTCTGGTTCAGAAGACAATTTAGGGATTTTATTTCAACGTTTAGGCATATTTTTGCAGCAGCAATAAATTTCATAAAGGTTGCCAGACAAAAGCACCAGAGAAATCCAGAATGAATTCACTAACAATTTGTATTGCAGAGTGAGGGGATTTGGAATTTAGAACTGATTGTTTGAGAGAGGGATAAGGAATTTAGAACTGATTGTTTGATTAGTGAATACTTCCACTGCAACATTTGGTGTGATGTGCATAAAATTGTTTGCCACATGAAGTCTCTGCTCCTCTATACAATCATGAAACATGAAGGAATGGAAAGATGAGAATGGTGTGCCAGCCTCCATCTTATTTAAATTTTAGCAAAACAAAATTTTTATTCTTAATTCATTGACATTAAATAATTGGTTAAATCTAAGTCTGGGAGTTGAACAGGATTAGGAAGTTCTCTTCCTATATTATCTTAAAAAGAACCTGAGTCATCATATAAAGATGACCCATAAACATTACAAGACTCAGTGGTTAATATTATTTATAGATGAACGAAGCAATTATCCTAATTTACAAAATTAATCCCATATTCCCAGCCAAAGACCTAATGATAAAAATCACTGTCACTTTCCCTATGGAATGTACCAAAATGGTCTGTCGCCTCCATCATGGTGTCCTGCGGAGGACCAGATTGAATTGCTGCAGTAATAATAATAACAGTGTAGCAACTGCTTTCCTCCTAGGTAATTAGAAGCACTGACACCTTTCCCCTTTTACCTAAAAATAATGTTGCCTGGTCCCTAGGCCTAAATAAAATACTACCTAAAATCTAAAGTTTGTTGTGTTAGGTGTTTCCTGCTGTTGTTTATTGCTGAGCAGGGAGCTGAAAAGTTCAACTTAACATTTCACTCTGCAGGGGAGTCCCATACTCTTAATTAGCTGATGAAACAGCAGGAGTGAAAAATGCTGAAGCAACATTATGACAGGTTTTAAAAATATATATATATTAATGATTTATTTATTTATACATACAAGAACTGGGGTACAGGCCAGAGGTGCAGGAGGTGAGAGAATTAACCAGAGACAAAGTGGGGAGCAGAACAGGCAGATTGACTGAAATACACTGCTAAGGGGAACAGCAGGAGAGGTCTGCAGGCCATGTGAGTCCGCTCCCTGGCTGGAGATCGAACTCTGGCTACAGTGGCTGCAGATAGCTTCATCATAGCCTAACTCAACCCCTTTCCCACCAGAGTGGCCCCTATTGAAGGGCTTTTAAGTTAATAATCACTCATCCCAGAAAACATGGAAGGCAGGAAGTGGGGCACATTTGGAGTAACATGGTTTTTTCAGTCCATTATAATGGGTTGGTCAGCAGAGTTAAATTAAGGGTCAGGAGATAAGAAAACTAAGTCCAGGTCTTAGTGGCATATGTGCAAGTTTAACGTGTATATAAAGGCATCTGGCAAGATCCTTTTGGAGCCTGCTCTTTTAACAATGCTTTCAAAATGGCTTAAAGAGCAATGTCCTTATCCAAATGTTCTTTAAAAATCCTATCATGTTACCTATGAGTAACAGGAATCGCTTCTTCAGCCTAGCTCACATACCTATTGAAAACAGAATCTTTGCTTTGTATCCTTTTCATGGTTAAAAAAAAAAACACTTTTTATATAGTGGAGTCTTTAAATTGTTTACACAGTTAAATCTAAAAGTCAATCAGTATATTTAAGTAGATGTCTTACAAACCAAAATTTTTATAAATTACAGAATTTCAAATTTTATTCATATTCTAATCATGTTTTGCAGTAAAACAAATGTGTCTATTGTGTGTTCAAAGAGGCACCCGAAAGACAAGATGATGATGTGCTCGTGTGATCCTAAGTTACCAGCACTAGCATCACCTGAGAATTGTTAGACATTCATGTTCTTGGGCCCAGCCCAGACATACTGAATCATCTTTAACGAGCCCTTCTCCGTCGGAACTCAGTACACATGTAGACTTTGAGAATCTCTGATACAGGGTAAGGTCTCTAGTCTCAGTGTGAATTCCTTATTTGATAACTGTGTGACCCAAGTTAGTTTTTTAACCTCCCTAATCTGTAAATAAGAGATAATGGTACCCACTGGATGAAGCTGGAGGAAGACATTAAATAGCATAGAGAAAAGTGCCTAGCACATAGTAAGTGCTCAAAAAAAAAAAATGCTAGGTTCTTCAGTTCTCATCCAAAAGGATAACATCAAAAACAACCAGGAAAGCAATTTTCTACAAGTGAGCTTTTTGCACAATGTGGTGTGTCTCCTGCTAAATGTTACCAAGACTGAAGTTTTTGATTCCGAATATGTAAGTGTAGCTATTGTTTTATCTCTCTTAATTGTATTTTGCACTACTAGGTTTCTAGCTTTACAGTAATACTTGATATTTATATTAGTCACAGCATACGGATCTTATTGTTGCAAACATATCTATTCTGAATCAATGTTAAATGTCAAGTATGCAAAGGTAATCTCTCCAATCAAGTGTTACCACCATGTATTCTATAAAGCCTGGCTCACTATAAAAGCCCCGCTTTAGTTCCGTGACAGAATTCCCAAAAAGATTCTTGAAAATACAATTTTCAAAGAAATTACATACTTTAATAGCATTTTACTGTTATAGTGGTTCTTTTCCAGGTGTCTAGAAAAGCCTTATTGCACAGGTACATTACACAGACTTCGATACATGAGCTCTAGTGTAGAGCAGTGGAAATGACAAGAGACACAGTGAGGGAAGCCCAAATTCAAATCCTACCTTCTCCAAACACTCTCCAGACAAACCATCCATGAGCCCATTATCCAAAAACTATAGAAGTGAAGGCAACATCTTTAATATTTTGAAGGGGTGTGCTGAGGAACATCTGAAAAGTATAATGAAGTGCTTTGGAAACCATAAGGCACAATAAAACTGGAGGATTTCATGTGATTTGTGCATCATAACAAAAACGCTACAGTGAAGGTAGAAGGTAGCACTACTTAGATCTTCTAAGGAAAAAAACCTTCCTCTGCTCTTTCTCTGACCAAACACTGACCACATTCCCATTGACAAAAATCTAAGTGACTCCCATATGACTCTCAAGATTCATTTACTCAGAGCAGAACACCACTATTAAGGAAACTTCTGTGCTCTCTCATCCCAGTATTTATTAAATATTGCCTTTTTCCAACATCATTCATAAAATGATACCATCACATTTTAATTATCTTTCCACATACAGTAGCTTCTCTTTCTCCCCCTTACTTCTCAAGTGTTTTCATTCAAAGCTGCTTTCTTGTGGTTCTACATAAGTGACGTTAACCTTTTAAAATCTAAGAGGTCATGTTTTAAAATGCTTTATAAAGTACTAGCTATTGCGAATCATCACTGCCCAAGCTTAGGATAACTCATGACATGCGCTTATGGTAATATACACTTTGTTTTAGGAATATGCAATACAGGAAAGAAAATTCACAGATGACATAAATTATTTATAATTGATAGTATGTAAGGAAATTATAACAAGGTTATTTATATAAACCATTAAGTGAAGGTTGAAAGAGATAACAAAAAGAAATCATTTAAGGATAACACGCTATTATTATAAACAGAATAAAACATTCATAGAAATGCGATGTTCGAAAGAGAGAAACCTACAATGGGCCAATTTCCTTGCTCTGCCAATTATAATTCTAAATGACAGTGGCAAGCATTATACAGAAATGCTCCCAATAAACTGGTTTGATCATGAAAAGTGGCACCATTAGCATGCATTTTCTTAAAAAATATAAAGTTAAAATTTAAATGAATTCCTAATGTCAGTCATGACATCTATGACTCCCATTAATTTATATTTTGAAAGATACAGAATAATTTGGTACAACTGTGGTTTTGAGACACTATACATTTAATCTATATTCTTTGTACATCTTCTGTGTGTATATATTGCTTCAAATTGAAAATAATCTTCAAATTGAAAATAATCACAATTGCTACCATTCATACTGTATTTTTCCCAATACTGATATTGTATTAACTGTTTGCATATGTAAGAAAATTCCATACTATTCTATCATCTTTATTTTATTTAGAAGTAAATTCAAGGATCAGAAATTTTATAATTAACTCCTCCACACAGCCTCATCAGAATGCCCCCATAATTATAATAGCACTGCAATGATGAAATACTCTTTCCAAAATATGAAAGAATGAAAGATAAACAAACTGTGGAATCCCTAGTTTTTATCTTCTAGGCACCTACTGGAATTAAAGGCACAGGACCTTTAGCTGAAATTTGCATTATATAATTTTTGATAGAAAAATGTATATCAGGATGGTTGCCAGTTAAAGAATGATCATTTCAAAAATAATGTGTGTAATCACTGACAATGTCAGTCTTCTGATATAAAGAAGTTCACTCACATTGGTTAACTAGTAAGTACCTTGGAATGCTTTAAACATAATGAAACAATCTACCAAAATACATACTATTTCCTAGTCTTTATGCACACAATGTAGCATGAAATCATGATGCTTTTGAAATATTCTGTGCAGAAATATTTATTTTTCAGCAAATATTTTCTTCAAAGATTGGTATGTGGTATGACAGTGTAATCTACTTGCACAACTAGTTTTGCAATAACCTTCTACAAATAATTGTAAATAAGGAAATGTAAATTTCATGTAAAAATGGTTGCAAATTTTTGGTAGCTCAAAGTGTACAAGTTGTATTGAAAATATAGTATATATACATAATTTAAGAATGAAGCATATAATTTCTGATAATATTTATACATGAAAATTCAAAAATTTGTAAAAGAAATTATTTTGGGGAAAAAGAACGTAAATCTCTTTAGCTAGTTAGGATACTTTTATTAGAAAAGTCAAGTATTTCCAACATTTTACTAGATACAGTGCTAGACATAGGCATGGTGGTGCTGATGAATTTCACAAAATCACATAATTGTAACAGTGCTACAGTTTTACTGATTTCCACTGGGGCGCAAATAAGTGGGACTGAGCAGCAAATAGCATTGAATCTAAAACTAAAGAAACACAAAAATTTCACTTTTTATTATTGCCTCTCAAGAATTCAAAGTAACTCACTAAAAACATTTGATTTCTAAACATTTTTGATGGCTCCACAGGCTTTAAATTACCTGTGAAATAAATTTTTATAATGTATGTTTGATATATTTTTTTTCACCATGGAAATATTCAGATATTTTCATTTACCTATATTTCATACATTCAGAATATCTCCTCTAGAATATTTTCTCATTTATTTAAAGAAAAATATCAAATTGTCTTCAAAGAAAACTTTTAAATAAAATGTATTGGGTGTTTAGGGCATGTCTATGCTAAGGACTGTTAAATCTAGTTAGTGGTTTAGATTCCCCACCATTCGATTTGTAAGGTTTAAAAAAACCAAAAAGCATCTCCCTATTTAATAAGTGAAAAAAAAAATAAGCAAACCAAATACAGGTTAGCAGAAAGCAATTGTGTAAGTATCTGTAAGTGAAACTGACTAGGAAATGAGAACCTAAGTATGGAAAAGAGAAATATTTAAAAATTTAACACGTCTTGTCATAAGATTTTGAGGGTAATGCCTTTAGGTAATTGCATCTGAAAGCTCAATTAAACCTAGAATCACTTGAAAATGGTCCATATTTTCCAAAAGAATATTAATAAGCAATAGTATGTTTCTGAAATGTTTATACTAGCACTGTTCAGGTTATTTTTTGAAATTTCAGTAATCACAGCAAGATATGATGTAAGAAAATACAATCAACTAAAATGCAAATGATGGTATGCAGGTTACCTGTAAAGTGCACGTCTGTTTGTCTGTTTTTATAGTCAAGGGGAATGATCAGCCCCCTCCACACATATACAATGAATCAGAAGTCAGTCTTTAACGATCCTGGCATAGTTGTCTCTAAACATCGCTATTAAATGATGACCTAGCCCAGTTCTTTCTAGAAACTGCCCAAATAGCCACCATTTCAGACAGAGCAGAAGGGGCCGACCTGGAAGCACAGGTAGCACATGGGAAGGACCTTTCTCATTCCTGACAGTATGGCACATCAGAGTAATGTAGAAGTGCTGCTGACATTTATTTATTATATATTCAGAATATAGAAGCACACTCAATTTTGAATGCTTGCATAATATACAAAGCTGCATATTACCAAGCTACTTGGGTAAAAGGAATGTTAACATAAAGTTCTTTTCTTTATATGCCAGTGAAATACTTTTTTAAACAAGTAGAACACAATATGGCAAGAAACAAAAGCACAGCTTCCCCATAATCAAATTCAAAAAGTCCACAGTAAGACAAATTTTTCATGTTTCCCAGTGTTTAATTGGAAAGTAGTTTTGTGCTCAGTATTCTAAATCACAGTATATTTTTAGTTCAGTATATGGACACACGTGATGTTATGATCTTAGACTAAAACTTTTTTGAACATGATTCATATAAAATTGAGTCTGCGTTCATTATAAAAACCTAATTTCCAGATAACTTTCCTTTATATTATCTAATATTATGAAGTCTAGACATACTTTCAAATGGTATCATAGCATTGAACATTTATTTCAGTATATCTAATTCACTGCATAAATGGTTAAAGGCCAAATTGTGAACTTTTCATATTTATATCAACATAATAAATATGAACTTTCAACATTGGCTGAATTTTAAAATTTAAAAGAAATATGCCAACCTGGAAGAAGGTTTGGGTTTTACTCATTCTATCTCACCAGATTTCAACAGAATTTATTACTATTAATTTCCCAGAAAACTACCATAAATAGGAGAAAACATATCATCTGTCACTTTATCAAACATAAAAGGACAAAGAAAAGCACATTTCTGACAAATATGTATTGTATTTGTCCAGTTTAGAATGCCATTCGATTACAAGTGAACTCGATTTGTATATTTTACATAAGGAAATAATCACAAATTGATTTTTTTGTTATATTTTTAATTATACAGGTTAAATTACTTTAAAATTCTTTCTTCCAGGGTAAATGCCTTTTCTGGAAATAAACATATCACTTGGCTTCTTTTTTTTTTTTTTTACCTCTTTTTGTTTAAGAATGCATGTTTAAATAAATCAAATGAGCACAGTACTTGAAATTAAATTTAAAGTGGACCAAATTAAGATTCAATACTATTGATTTCCCCTTGATGTAACTTAAGATGTGTAAACTGCCACTAGAAATAGAAGTACAAAACCTGACATTTAATTGTTCAGCAGGTTTTTTAGGCATAGGTGAATTACCGCACTGTTATTTGAACTGAAGCATCTCATAATATGTATGTAACAGATTTTGTATGATATAAAACTTTACAGCAAGCTATTTGAATGTTTATTAAAAAAATTCTCAAAATGACATGGAAACATGTTTACTGTACAAATAAAAGCACTTAGACATTAAGAGTGTACATTATTCAGTAATTTACATCAATATAAGACTGCGGCATGAGTTAACCAGCACAAACTACATTATATTCATAACTCTGGTCATGTTCATCACAAAACTACATTACTTTTACTTTACTAATGGATGTCTGTTTACATCACTTATTTTAAAAGCATCCAAAACATGAACTTCATTTCAGTATAAAAAGCTCAGTAAAATATTCTCTATGCCTAATGTTTTTTGTCAAGTTGCCTATTTAATCTGAAGTGCAAAACAATTCTCTGATAATTAAGTTGGATTGACATGGAACATGAGATTTGGGAAATAAAGGGTTCTCTGCGCAAAGAAAGTTCAGGAAAAAAATGGGTCGCATAAAATTAAATAGGATTTTATGTAACTCCCGCTTTATCAAGACCTGTGAGGAAGGCAGAGTTCCCCAAGTATGCGCGATCATGTTTCCTCACAGATTGCCTATAACCAAAAGTCATCAGAACCTTTTTGGAAAAGGATAAGTTAGAAAAATGCGCTAAGAGTCCAAATACAAAGTGTTATTCAGCAGAAATTTGAACAATATTATGGCAATTTTTAGAGTTTTACCTCACCATAAGCTTCTGAGTAAGGAAAATTATAATTGACCTCAGTACAGTACTGAGTAGAGTACAGTACAGTGACTATCTATGAACTGGATATTAAGATCTAGGCTGCTGAGCCATATTAGCATACTTATTCAATATGATTATATACAGTGTGTTTATATTTTTCCAACAAATAGATACAGATATATAATGGCTCAATTAAAGTCTGCTCACATTATCAAATATGTGTTTTTGAAAAAATTAATAGTCAGAGGTTGTAAGGAAAATATATGTGAATTATTTATTCACACATTTTTTATAAAACTGATCAAATGAATTTGACAATTAGTTATAAAAAATCAGGGTCCAAATTATTATACATTGCTCCGTCTCCAGGATTTTTAAAAGTGAAAGTTGGTTTAAACTTAACAGTTGGCTTAAAAGTACAAGTCAGTTTGTTTGTGAGGTTTTATTTTCTATTTCACAATATGGCTATCCATCCTTTATTCTTTAAGAAACATGGAATTTAATAAAAGCTACATTTTACTTTGGTTACCAGCCTTACTAAAATGTTCAGTCACCTTCGTACTGGAAGATATTTAGCTAAGGTGTCAGAAAAGAAAACTGTGATTTGTTAAATGTTCACTAAAAAAGGCTTGTCAAGAAAGGGGCTGGATTAACTACAGCCATTTTTACCAGGGAACTAAAATGCTAAGACCTGTTAACTCCACTTTGCAGCTTTCATACCAATACCACTGACAAAACTTTTGCAGTGCCTGCCAGTCTCAATACCCCACGTTAGAGATGCACCTTAGAGGCTCACAGGCTTACTAATGCCAAGCCCACCACCTGCTGATATTGATAAGAAAGTCAAACTTATTATTTCTGAACAATTAAATAAAATGGCATATTACTTGAAAACATTTTGCACAAAAATATACACTGCAAATAATAAAGTGAAAAAAACGATGCCTCCTGGAGTCTTATTTCATTATATATTCAGTTATGGTTCACCTAAGGAGATTTAAGATAAAATTTTAGGAACTACAATTTTCTCCTACACAGGAAACCCAGTGAATATCTATTCTCAAATTATGTGATCAAGGAATAAATCTTATTACCAATATGGCACAATGTCCAGGCTTCTCCAGCTCACTTCCAAACACCAACAATTACAAAGTTTCAAGTACAATCTGTAACCTTCAGGTAAGTCTAAATTAGTTTTATCTAGGTTTTCATCATTTGGCTTTTGATATAATTTATTTTGTAAGTACATTCTTCTAGATTTATATTCTTAAAAATTAAGATTGAGCTATTTACATCATTTAATCATGTATCAGTATAACATTATGCAAAATTTGTAAAATGATAAACTTTAGTAACAGCAGTATCATCACCAATACAGAAACCAATCTTTTTTATTGCTTTGAACTATGCAATATAGGTAAAAACAGAAATGGAAGAGATTTAACAGGAAGGAAAAATGAAAGTTCCCCAAAGTTGTAATTCCAGAGTAGTCCAGTTCATTTCTTCCAAGCAGAAAAATTCGTAGTATATTTTTCAGCTTTGAAATTCTTGACGTTCAAACAGTCATTGTGCCCTGCAAAAACTAATAAAAAAGTAATAATAAAATGGTTTTTACTTTTGGAATTATCTTTCATAAAGGTATTTTCAAAAGATGAGAAAATGACTTTCCAAGATATATAATTCAGACCAGTGTGTGTGTGTATATGTGTATGTGTAACAAGTAAAAAATAACTTCTATGCTTGCTAAAAAAAAAAAAAAAAATTATGTTCATGGCAAGCATTTGAAAAGAAAAAATAACTGCATGATCACCACATAATTGAAATTTCTTATCTCCATTAGAAGAAAGATTACCACAAGTAAACTACCTTTTATAAAAATAATGGTAGTTTTGCCCTTAAAAATTATTTAGACGATAAGCTGCAAAAACATGCCATAAAAGTTAAAGAACTTGTGTGTTTCTGTAGAGTCAAGTTGGTATTTGAACCAGTATTAAACTTTGTATTTAGCTGAAATATAGAGAAAAAGAAAATGGATTATAAAGTATGTTATTCTCAATATTGGTACTTTGGATCACTTAAATTATTTTAAACTATAAATACATCTAAAATACAGTATGAATATCAAATGTGTATTACTTGATACTCACATCATCATACATGAAATTCACAACCCCTTGTTGCAAGTGGTCTCTTCTCCTAAAGAAATCTTTAAACAAAATAATAACTTTTTAATTATAATTTAAAATGTCTAGTTTCAAATAACTTGCTTGCCCCCCAGATACTAAGAAACGAATAATTTCACATTCAAATCTTAAGGATTTTACTTCCCAGGCAACTGAGACATGAAGAAAATGTACTCAGACATAGCTATAAGAATTTTTCACTGTTTTATATTCCCTTTGTAAAGACTGACAACTCTGATTAGATTTACTAGTGAATAAAAGGGAAAAATACAGAATATAAATTTGCTGATGAACACAATAGACAATATTCAAGAAAAATACTATTCCGCTTTTAAAGCCAATACCTGTCAGTGCTCGAAGCTTAACACAGCAAGCAACATAATCATCAAAGAAGATTCTGCCATTCTTGCTATAACGTTTAACAATAGCAGTTAATGTTTGAGGACTCAACCTATAACCTAAAAAGAAATTGATAAAAATTCAGACTTCTAAGACAAAGCACCATCAGGATACTATAATATTTCAATTTGTTAATAAAGCTGTAAAATAAACTTTCTAATTCATTCCATTAAAATATATTAAAAGCAAAATGCATTCAGGTTGAAACTGAGCAGATAAGTGTTTCATTATTAATAGTTAAATGGTACTTAATAAAAAATTAACCTAGTAATAAAGTCAAAGCTAAGGAAGAAAATAATTATCTTTGTATTTTTAAATACATTTGATTTTGTAACGATGTATATTTGGTAGGTTTTAATGCTTTAATATTTCAGTTTTGTGATTTCATATTTCTTTAAAGAATATCAGAGATTGAACATATTACTTACAAGTGATTTTTTAAAAAAGCTGTTATTCTCAGTACCAGGGATCAATTAAAAAAGCCAAACTTGAGGAACAATTTGAGGGGAAGAAATAGAAAAATCTTTCTTGTTTTATTCTAAAACCTTTACCCTATTTTTTTCATAGACTTCCATCTTAACTACAACATTCTCACTATTTCCTTGGTTCTTTGCTATCTAAACTTGTGGACTTTTAAAATTTTAGCTTATGTACCCTCCAGTAAAAAAGCATTGGATCATTCACTTCCATTATATGTGTACTAAATTAGTTCTAAATTTCATATAAAACTGAAATTTTAAATGACTGAAACACAATTAGAAATGTAAATTAATATATTCTAATTGCTGCACACCTCATGGTGCTCTTACACATTTAATGAGAAATGTTGCTGTTGCTGTGAAAAATGTTGACCTGAAATTATTGTCTTTGTTTATTACTAGATTAGTAAATATGGACAAAAGATGCTAATCCATTGAAAGAACATAAAATTAAATGCAATGCAAGGAAACTCATCCAGGAAACTTGGTAAAGGAAAGGAAAGATATAAATTGAGAGAAGTAAGTAAAATATAAAATCAAATAAAATATTAAATTAATGAAATCATGTATTACGAGCTTCCTAACAGAGTTATAATCTGGATGTAGTATTGGTAGAATACTTTAAGATTTCCCTTAGCATGTTTAACAAATTAATTTGAATAATTCAAAATAGATCTGAAAGTCTAAATCTGAATATTTCCTTATTATGCACAAGTACCTTAAACAGTTAATTTTCTCACAAATATATACTGCTTAGAATATAAGTGTATGTAAAACAGCAAGGGTAAACACAACAAAAAATAAAAATTACATTAAGTAAGTCAAACACCATTATATATATCACTTTTGGAAAGAAAGTAGACTAAGCACCTTAGTTTATCTGATGTGATTAGGGAAAAGTTATATTCTTTTTAAAATATTCTAAATTGCATTATTTCTCAATTTGTTATGTATTCAACACTACAGTAGATAAACAAAAACCAAAACTTCTGAAAAGCTAGACTATGATATAGTCTCTAGACTTAACAATAACTGAGATAAGAATTTGTTATCAAATTAGAGTTCTTACCCAATTGCAGAGATTCAATATAAATCAATAAATTATAAGGGGATACTAACATTTAGAGTAACAAATTCAACTATACTCACAAAGGAAAGTCAGAAATTATTTTTTCAAATAGCACATACAAAAGATCATCTTTAGAAAAAGTCAGAGTTAAAAATGGTTTTGTCTTTAGCCAGAATTTATCTACAACCATGAGAGAAATCCAACTCAGCAACAGCAGTCAAAATACATTTACCTTTATTACTTAGCAAACTGAAGCAATTAATATTCATCTGATGGAAGAACCAAGCAGGCATGGATAGATTTTAAAGAATTTTAATATCTTACCCATAGCGGCAATGGCTTGATGCAATTCATGATGCTCAACTGTGCCACTTCGGTCTTGATCGATAGCTATGAAGTGTTGCTTCCAGGCATTAAGAGCTGCCCAAAGTTCTTTGAATTCATTGAATCCCATTTTTCCTGTATAATCTCGCTGATAGTTTCATTAACAAAAATAATGTTGATGCCAAGGAGAATTTACCTAGCCCAAAACTCAAAGTCTCACACTAAAATATTGTCACTGAGCTTCTGCAAGAGTTAGCCAGATATATTTGTGTGGAAAAGTATGAATTGCAAACAGGGTCTTGCAAATTATTTTTAAACACTCTAGTTTACTGTGGTTATTTATAACCAAAAATTGCCTTAATATTCAAGAAGAAACTATTCAAATTCCAGTATCTATTTTTATTCAAGGATACATCCAACATGGCAATCATAATTCTGCAGGTTTCCAGACTGAAAGCTATGAGAACATTTATTATTTAAATTGGAATCTGCTTAACTTTAACTCTGTCAAATAATGACAATTTCTATTTTCAAAGTATATAAAAATTGCTAAATCAAAAAAATTACATAATCAACCAGTAAGCCAACTTTGAATGGTAGCCACAGTAAAAATAATGACATAAGAAAAGTTACTACCTTAAATCTAGTCACATCTAGTAAGGAATGCACGTAATTAGATAGGCAATCACAAAATAACTAAAAATTGCTGTCAAAGTGAAGAAATTAGGTCTCACTTTTCCTAATCCAAATGACAAATGAGATTTAAACACAAGTTTCACATATAGCAAGATCACAAAACTTGAAGGAATTGAGATTTGGTTAAAGGTTGCGGTTTGTGCAAGAGAGTGGGACAAGATGACAAATGAGGGCTAGATCATGAAAATCTTTAAGATCCACTCTAAAGATTTACAACAATGAAGTTATTGAAGGATTTTAAACACAAAGAGGTAGAGGGAAGAGTTACAGAAACAAAAGATAAATCAACAATGGGAGGTAGAAACATGGGAGCAATACCTTTCAACTTGTAAGTAAAAATAATTTATGACCTCCATACAATAACTGGCCAAACAATAAGTTTACTCTGAGGACACATGGAAAGCATTTTCCAACATACAGAGTCTCAGAAAATCTACCTCCCAATATTTTATGAAGCAGTTAATTGATGTTATATTTTATTGAAATAACAGCAAACTTTTAAAAATGACAAGTAGATAAAAGGAAGATCTACTTGGAGAAGGGAAAAATACTGAATGATGGTAAAAGAAACTATATGGCTGTTATACACAGAAACTAGATCATAACAGAAAGCCCCAGGATGATTCTAGAAAAATCTAAATGCAATATAAAAGGCAAGTTAATTATAAATCATCCTAAGAACACAGTTAGGCAGAGCATTTAGACAGAAAAAATAATGCAAATACTGATTAATGATGCAATGAAAATATAACCACATTGAGTAGATAGGGAGATGGGTTCTTAAAGTGGCATGCAGGGGTTGGGTGAGTACCAGGAGAAAAGTTTCACTCTTATTTTCTATAGCAGCAAATCCCTTGATAATCACTAAATTCAAAATCAAAGGTGGCACGAGCATGGAGTCAAATTTACAGAGAACTACCTCAAACTGTTGAGAGAGATTCCCTATGTGAACAATTAGTGTCAGGGAGTTAGGGACTCACTATTAAAGTTATTTTCATTATAAGCTTTAAAGAATTATTTGAGTTTTAATATGTGCAGTGTATCTGTGATAAAACATTTTTAACAGTTTAAGTAGGAAGACAAACAAGTTAGAAAATAAGTTTCCTATTTCAATTTCAACAGGAGAAATAGAGATCTCACGAGAGTAAGTGCCACTAATTCCCGACTGTGTCAAACATCTCTGCAGTTCCTCAGCATCCACTTCACCATCCTATTAAAAAATAATGATAACCTGTTTTATCTGCTGTTGTGTAAAGCATACTGAAATATCAATTGGTTTCTTTTAGCCAATCAGTAAGTACACATTCTTCAAAACAGTATTACTTTATTATCAATTACAAAATTATAGAGACAATTATTGATAACAATGGCATCATCCAGCATGAGTAATTTCTTTCACAATCAAATTATATTCTATGACCATTTTAAGCAGTTCAAATATAATTTATTTTCTCTACTTCTGAAAAAATAACATAATCACTGTGTCTTATAATAGCTCAATATAATAGCTAGTGACAATCATTGTATCCCTACTTAAAATCGTTATGAAAATGAATGAAATGTGTTCAGAGAAGTCTCAAAAGCTTTTCCTTCATGCCCATTTTGGGAAGAGATCATTTCTAAAGGATATTGAAGCTTTACGTAGAAGGTAAAAAATATCTTTTCTTCCCCACTACAATGTCCTTGCAAGGGCTGATAGCAAGAGGATTCAAATGGCACAAGCACAAGGTCAAATTCAGGCCCTTATTTAAAAATTGAGTATTTTTTTGTATATAAATGATTTTTTGGCATTCATTTTGATTTTTAAAATACTACATACAACATTACTTAATGTGATTAATGAGGGGATTTTTCATTCCCTCAAATTTTGTGTTTAAGATGGGTGTCTCACCTGCCTTACCCCAGCAAAACCTGAAGTTACTTAGCAATACAACATCAGGTTAGTGGGCCTTCAACAGCAACTGAGGTGAGAAATAATTGTGAGAAAAGATATTTATTTCTCTAAATATATCTGAAAATCACTGCTTTATTGGAACAGCTTCTATTTTTAAAAGTGTAAGAAACTAATTTGAATATATGAAATTCCAACCCTAAATTGCATTTGGGTACATTATGCAGAAGTCAGATGAGGAAGCAGAGGGAGAGCAGATGTGTAGTAGGAGCAGGGAGTTTGCCTCTGAGGACTTAGACTTCAGGAACTGGAATGTCTCACTGCTGGTATGCAAGAAGCTGGATGGGGCTCCCTGCTCATGAAAGCAGGCAAAACAAAACAAACCATACTGCCTGAAGGTGAAGGCATAGGAAAACAGGGCTAAGATACTAAGGAAGTTGCCCCCAGCCAGCTGATGACAGCTGCACTAGCATCACTGAGCAGGAGCCTGAAACAAACATGGAATCTGATCCCGGACACAACCTTGGTGGCACACTCACAGAACCACTGGCTAAGGAGGATGGCATGTAGGAAAGATGACTGAGCAAAGGACAAAAAGAGGGAAAGAGAAACTAAACAAAAAACCCACTTGAAGTAAGTGTATGAAGCAAAATTGCAATCCAAATAGAGAAATCCAAAGTTCAGATAAAAAAGCAATGGTTTTGAACAAGTTTGAAGTTAATTTTATAGAATAATCAGCAATCAAGATTTTTAAGAAAGTGTAGAGAAACAAAGGAAGAAATGTCTTCCATTTAAGAAGACTTAAGACATTCGTGGGACAAGTCTTTATAAGCCACCTCTAATGTTCAACAACATTAGATGTACAATGTATCCAACAGTGTTCAAAAGAAATTCCTTGTCTTCAAGAGCTTACCTTTTAGTGAAGGAAACGAGAAAATAAAGCAGAAACTACATAAAATGATTGATAAATGCTCAGGGAATTTAAAAAAGCAGAGTTTAGGTGATATGGAATGTATGCTTGGGTGTCACACAGGAAGGAGGGGAGAACAACATCCTTTTTACTGATGGTTAAGAAAAGCCTCACACAGCTCATGTGAATTCAGAGAAAGAACTAAAGAAAGAGCAGGTGCAAGCAATGCAGATATCTGAGAAGAGTGTTCCAGGCTAAGCTGTTCAGCACAGTGGCCATTAGCCAGATGTTCCACTGGGCACTGAGATGGCTTATCTGAGCTGAGATGTTCTGTAAGTATAAAATACACATGAGATTTCAAAACCTAGTAACAAAATAATGTAAGTTATCCTATTGATAATTTTTACATTGATAATTTTACATTGATTACATGTTGAAATGTTAGTATTTGTTTGAAGTATATTACCAACCTGGCTTGCCTTTATGGCTCAATTATATGATGAACAATGCTGTTCTTAGGCACAGGAAGTCCTCATTATTACTATAAATTTTTCTTAAAATCATTTTTTTTTCTTGAAGTTATACAGCAGAAAAGGTTCAGGTGTAGATCAATAAAAATCAACAAGCGTATAAGCTTCATGCAGTTCATCACTACAGTTCAATTCTATCCTTCAGTAAGGTGTTGCTGAGATCTTTATCGACTCACATTTATCACTCCTTTCTTTACATCATTATCATTTCTTACATGACACCCTGACTAGAGAGAGATCTACTAAGTCTGTTTCTTAGACGATACTGTGTCATTCATCTTTTCACCCCTACGCTTGAGCACAGTACCTAGTACAAATAACAATAGCTCAGCAGTTGAACTAAAGTCTTTAAGGATGGATGTCCAGGGGCTATGTTTTAAGTTGTAATTTTATAAAATGAATTTAATATAGTCAGTTATATAAAATATATTCCCAGTTTTATACTGATTGAGTTCCTTGTAGACAAGAATGGTATAATGTAGCAGAATGGCATTTTGCTGGAAACAACAGGAAACGTTACTGAAGAAACTTAAACTAACAAAGGTTTATGGTTTTTACGCAAGTCTGAAATTAGGCAAAAGAAGCCTGCATGGCAATTTAATGATGCCATCAATCCCTTTATATTTCTCCACATGCCCCATCCATAGACCTTTTATCTCAAATTTATTTCCTCAAGATCTCAAAATGGCTGCTACACCCACATCCCTCAAATTCCCTTTCCAGCAGAAAGAATGAAGAAGCAAGAAAAACAATGCTAGTTTTCTGGAAGGTGTTCTCATTTGGAAAAGGAAAATATCCCAAAGCAATTCTACCTAATCTGAATAGCCACTCCTAGAGCACATGGTGTCTGTGATGGTGAATATTGGAGCTTTCTAACCTCTATGAAAGAGGGAAATGGAGGTAATAAATATAATTAAAATAGCCAAAGCAGTATCAGCCACATGTAAGAATTCTGTATATAGCTATACTCCATATAAACCTATGAGACCAGGGAATACTTAAGTGAGTTAATAATGAAGGGTAGATTTATCAAAATTCTATAAAATTTTGGTCAATAAATTTGTCTTGACCAATATAAAGGAAAAGAGACTCAATGTGAAACTCTGTCTCTTCTCACTAGTCTGATATTTGAACCTCCATTAAGGCCTTCTTTACCATTCCCTGATCTAAGTTAGCCTTAAACCTCTCCCAGGACCATTCATGATGTCTAAGACTTCTTTCTGAAACTCTCTGTTACTGCTCAGCTTCCTCAGGGAGACTTACATAGAGATATCTTTTTCTACATTCTCTCTGGCTCAGTCACCATGCACAGCTGCTTCTCTTAGTCAAATGAACAATATCATCATACAGCAACAACTGAAGTGAAATAATTATGAATACCCTCATCTCTGATCTCAAAAAGAAGTGCAACCTTGGTAAGTTTAAAATGCAAATTTCATCTACATTTAAAATAACACACAAATCGAAAGAGTTGATATTTCTTTGAAATAGTGATCACTTTTAAAAACCAATGTGTACATAATCTTCATAGCATCTCACCTGCCCAGCGACAGAAGTGAAGTAAGTCCACATGGGGTCTCCAGCTGAGGGATAACCATCCGAATATGCTGGGCCTCCAGGATATCCTCCGGGAAGCAGGTTTGGCCCTGTTCCTACCACTGGCTGCCCCAGTGGCATCTGCATGCCTGGTATCTGACCACTAAAATTTCCAAACTGTAAAACAGGAGAAGATTATTAATACAAATATTACGTAGTACCCCCAAAGTTAATTTAAAAGACAATGGTTATAAAGAAGTCCTATGAAAAACAACAGAGTCACCAAGGCTATGAAAGTTGTTTGTTCCAAAATGTTTGATGTCCTATATTAGGACATAATTCAGTTCATTAAGTATATATGGTACCCTGCATTCAAAGATGTGTAATAGAAAAAAGGCTCCAGTCCAAGAACCAAACATGAAGCGTAGTGTTCATGTTCAATTCTGAAATAAACAAAAGTAAACACTGTAAGAAAATTTCAACCACAATAAAAAAGTAGTGTACCTCAATATACATATCTTAAATACAGTGTAACTGTGACCTAATCATGGCAAACTCTGCCTAGGGTTAAAATACCTCTCCACCAAAACATGCATTTTAAAAAGCAAGTTACCAGTGAACATATCCTGAAGGTGATAATTCCAACAATATTCTTCTTTGAAACTAATAAGAATCAGTACCAATAATAATAGGCAGTTAATATTTACTGAGAGATTTTTATATTCTAGGTTCTGTTCAAGTATTTTCCATCTTTATGTGATAGCATCTTGCAAAAACCATACGAGACATGAAAGTAATAGATTCTTTTTTGCAATTTGGGACTTGTTCAAGGGGTGTCTTAAATCAGGTCAAGGTCAAAGCTGGTACGAACAGACTATGATTTTAAAAAATGACCTGAGTCCACAGGCTCCCTACCACTTATTTCCTGCTGTGGCCTTGGCCTCTCTCTCATCTTCTTTTAACTTTGGAACTCGGTACATATTTTTAATCCCTCAGAAAGGCATTTTTCTCAGCGTGTTTATGAGTTTAAAAGAAGAGGAAGTACTAATATAGTTTCTTATTCCATTTGAACAAAAAACTTTCTTGATTTATACCCTTGAAGGATGAGCAGAGACTCCCAGAAAATCCCCCTCCTATCCCAAAAGGGAAGATTTCAAAATATTTGAGGGGGAAATAGCCAAAAGGTACAAATCCACAAGCGGTTGCAATCACTGCAGCATGGGATGTAAGGGTGAAAGTGTGAAGGAAATACTGGAGCTTGAGGAAATGTGCTGAGGGAGGTAGTGAAAAATGAGATTATGAAGCAAAGAACAAGAAAGGAAACCGCAAGTTTCAAAACAGTATTATGGGTTAAAAAACAAAATAAAGATATAATTTCTCTTTGAAAAGAAAAGACAGACTATCAAAGAAGAAAAGGACAGAACAATTTCAGGCTTATAACCACAAACAGAATTTGAGTTAAATATATGTGTGTGTGTGTGTGTGTGTATATGTATATATATATATATGTGTGTATGGGGATATATACAAATATCTGTAAAGACAGACAGATAGATAATATAGGCAAGAGTTTTAAACATTTTATCAATGTATTTGAATCTGTAGATAAAATAGGTCTTCTAAAATTATGTAAATCAAAAATATTGAGTCAAGGAAAAAACCTTCCTATTTCGAATAATGGCAGGCTAGGATAATTTAATCAAACTTAATAGAAATGGTTCAAAAATTTGTATTTTAAAATCACCTCCTTACCCATAGTGGGATACTCCCAGGATAATATCTGGGGATACTGCTAAACCCAGAGAGAAAAAGATTTGCAACAAGCCCAAAACAGCTTTTGCTCTGAGGATCTAGCTGTTATAGACACTAGGCTTGGTTGCCAATGCCTCCAAAGAAATGCAAGGCAGTTAGGACTAACGCACACCCAAAGCTAGGAAACCTGCCGCTTTAAAATTCACAAAGAACTGAATACTTTTTTGAGAAGCCAAACTAAATCTAAACATACTTATGAAAAGCTAATGTTGAGGTAGTGTAGAAAAACTGGCTATGGACCCTCTACAGTAGCCTTTTCATCTGTACCTTGAGGACTCAACACATTTTTTTTTTTAAGATTTATTTATTTATGCTTACAGAACTGGGGTACAGGCCAGAAGTGTGGTGGGTGAGAGGATTCACCAGAGACAGAGTGGGGAACAGAACAGGCAGACTAACAAAGTACACTGCTGAGGGGAGCAGCGGGAAGATCAGAAGAGATCTGTCATGCCATGTGGGTCAGCTCCCTGGCCGGGGATCAAACTCATGCTGCAGTGGCTTCTGAGAGCTTCATAATGTAGTGCTTTAACCCACTGCACCACCAGGGAGAGCCGCACACAAGTAAAATGAGTGATAGTTTAAGAAGAATCGGACTCTAGGAATCTACCTTTTCTTTCAGCATCCCAAAAATCCAAAAATTTGAATCTGATCAGATTAAGGAGGGTTGCAAATTCTTACCACCTCTCCTCACAAAGGCAAAGGCTAGTGAATTTCTCCACTCCCCTGAAATGGGCAGGGTCTGTGTCAGCTTATCTGGTAGAAAATGATAAAAATTTCAATCCAAGTCCATTCTTGGCTTAAGACTTTAGAGGACTGGCAGCTTCTCTGTCTCTCTCTTAGAACATGGTGTGTCTGCAATGCAAAACCCACATGGAAGTAATGATATGGAAGAGAACAAAGGTCCCTGGACAATAGATGAATCCCTAAAAATAATTTATATAAACACAAATTTCCAGATGTTTTCTTGATACTATCAAGTGAGTGAAATGATCATTAATTAGATCACCATTACATAATAATGTGACTAAAAGAAAAGTTGGGGCTGAAATGTCACTGATGTTATTTTCATGTTGTTTTTGCACATTTTTGAATCTTTAATTTTACCTTTAACTCCTAGTTTCTACCTAGAAATTTTCAAACTAATTGTCCATTTTGTGAGTGTTACTATAGTTAAAACTGGACTATACAATGTGTATCTGCATATTTAAGCAGCAATAAGTGACATAACAGGTTGAAAGCAAAAATGGAAAGAACAATGTATGACACTCCATTTTATCTTTAAAGATACCACCTGTATCTTATGTCAATAGCTTCCAAACATTTTGCTTACCTATCCCTAAAAGAATTTTGAAATTCTATATACTTTATTTTTTAAAGATTTATTTATGTGTAGAACTGGGGTATAAGCTAGAAGTACAAGGGGTAAGAGGGCTTACCAGAGACAGAGTAAGGAGCAGAACAAGTGGATCGGCTCTACTGAAGTACACCGCTGAGGGGAGCAGTGGGCAAGACAGGAGAGGTCTGCTGGCAGGGGACTGAACTCAGACCATAGCAGTCATAGGGAGGCCCAACTTACTTTACTCCACATTTTATGTTGACATAAAATTCCTAAGTTTAAACAGTATAAAAGAATACAATGCCCAAAGTACTGTAAATCTCAATATTTATGGATAAGTTTTATGTCTCTCTTTCAAAGAACCTATTTTATTTGCACACTATAATGATTTAATACTTGCTCCCCTTTATTAAAAAAAAATGAAAACTCTTCTGTAACATTTAGAAAGTTATCTTCTTCCTTTTACTCTTGAAATTCATCTTTTATTGTTTCTTCCATCAACAGTTCACTTGTATATATTTTTTCATATTTCAAGTTTATTCTTATGTTTCTGTGGTAATATACCCTATCATACTCACCTAAAATAAAAGTATGTATATAAGCTGAAATTTAGAATTTTATTCTTTCCTGTGACCATAATGGGCAACAGAGTAAAAAAAATTCTTTTAGATTGTTATAATTTTTGTTATTACCCAATAAGAAAATGACAATTTTGATAAATACTTATTAAACAAGAAAAATGTATTAGATAAAAGCATGCTGCAACTAGCTCTAGCAGTTAATATTTTACATTTTGTTAGAAGACTAAAGGAAACACTAATAAGATGTGGGTTGACTGTAATTCGCAGGATTTATTAAAAAATTAACTATCTCATTAATATACTCCAAGGAAATATTTCTGTTGCATTTAAAGGAATCAGTAAAGTTAATTTGCATGGCTCCAGGTGTTTGGAAGCAATTTTCTTCCCAGGTCATGGTGATGAACATCAGAAAAGCTAAAAAAAACTGCAATGTTTAAATAAGGCATTTAAATATTGAAACACACATGTTGACTTTGCTTTTGTGGAATTCTTCATGAAATACAAACACTAAAAAACATAGGGGTAAAAAGTGGCAAATGATTTGAATGAAAATGTCTGAGTCTTACCACCCCATCCATATTTGACTTCAGAACATCCCAATAGAATAAAGATACCACATTTCATCAGCAAGTTTCACCCTGTTGGAAATATGCTGAAAATAAAAAAAAACTTAAAAATGTTCCACGGGTTTATGCTACTTTGAGTGATCTTTGAAGGAATAGCCTTTTAATTTTTAAGGTGTGATGTGGGAGAAACATTGTAAAGTGGAAGATGTCAAGGGGAACTCTGGCAGGTTTACAAATCAGTTTTCATAAAGAGTATGTGTGGAAATTCATCCTTGAAAAATAGCTTATTTTTCGTGTATTCACAGGTAAAGGAGTAATTCCTCTGAAAATCATTGTCATATGTCAATATCAGGGCTTACATTAAATAGAAGTAATGTTCAATTTCTCTTGCTAGGTGTAAACTAATGGAAAATACATTATTTTCTACACCCTACTGGATCATCCTGCAAGCCCATTTTTTGAACATAAAGTGTCTTCAGCCCACTTTAGAGATCACTGACATAAATACTTATGTCTAGTGGTAGTGGCACAAAGGAAATGTGGACACCAGGGCTAACAAGAAACAGCTTTAATGCACAGGTACAGACTTAGCAAAATCCCATGCCAAAACTGAGCCAGGTTTGTTAGGGAGTCAGGGCAGCAGTCTGTATACACTTTCAGTTTCTACAAGGTTCCGGGTGGGTTTGCATTGGAAGCTGTTCATGGTCAGATATGACGTGGCCACATACCAGGAGGTGAGTCGTGGCACACTGAGGAGTTAGCAGAGGTTCAGTAGTCATGGGACCCATGGGACCTCCCAGGTCCATTCTGCCTCAAGGCAGTACATGGTCTAACAAGAAGCAAGAATCAAACCAGGAACTAAGTTGCACACCAGGAACTGAGCAAAAGGTTGTTACTAAAGGCCGCAGGCTGTTTATCTCCATGCTTAAGGTTTGGGTTCCTTTCTGAAAAGAAAAAGTTAGACATCTAGAAACTACAAAGATAACTTCCAATTCACAAAAATGATTCAGGATAGTTGTGAATAAAGAGCAACCAAAAGTCTAGCCGATGGCCCTTAGTAAGGATTGGGAGATATTTCATGTACCTTTATTTATTCATATGCGACCTAAAAAACAGAAAACATGAAGTGGTCAAAACATCCAGAAAGAGGATGTATAGCAAAACTGAGTGGGGTGCAGGGAAGGGTAGGCTTGCAGGGAAAAAGATTACTGGGGGGAAAAGGTGTTTTGTGCCTTCATTTCCGGATTTTTTTTTTTTTTTAAACACATTACATCCTCAGCACCACACTAACTAGCTTACGGGGCGCTCAAAAAGGACCAGAGCACCGATCGCGAAATCGCCACCGCCCTGGCATTAGCAGGATGGGGCGCCTCCAAGTACCAGAGACCAGTGGACCAGTCAGGGCAGAGGGCGGACCCTAAGCGCGGCAACGCGCGCAAAGGCGCCACACCCCGCGAGGGCGGGTGCCGAGAGAAGCAGCCAGGACTCACCCCTCCTCCAAATCCCGAGTACGCCATGACAAGCCGATACCACGCTCTGCACAGAAGCGCTTCACCCAAAGGACGTCCTCCCAGCTCAGAGAAAGGCGAAGGTGAACGTGCAGATGCAGGTGAGGCTGAAAGACGCACTTGCCACACTGATCACTTCCTTGAAAACGTCCCCACTGGAGTCAGCTCCGCCTTGCTCGGTCCCGATTGGACAAGTCCCTCTTACCGGCACTCACACCCCCTAAAGCCCCACCTTCCCCGGGATCTAGTCCCACCCATCTCGTCTCTGATTGGCTTCACGCGCCCAGCCCTTGATTGCTCGACTTCTATTGGCTCGCTCAGGTCTCGCGCTGTCCTCGCAACGGCTTTTTTTTTCCCCCCCTGCCTTGGTAACTTCCACTTCGTGGGAAAAAGTCTCTTATTTCTTTTCTCCTTTGAGGCCAAATTATCTGTACTTTGTTTTGATCAGTGATAACTAGAGTTGGTAGAGTAAGTAGTTGAAAATACAGGAGGTCCAGCTAATTTCATTTTCAAGTTAACGAATATTTACTTGTAATTTCGTCTCAAATATTGCAAGAGCCCAGCTCTTACACTAAATTTTTATTCAATGTATGTTGCTAATATACAGGACATTTTGATTATTATATGGAAGTTGTACAAACAAATCAAGGTTTGGGCAAATTCCTGCAATATACCTCCTAATTCTGTCCACCTAAAGCAACAGCTTTATGAAAAGTTAAATCAATTATTTTGATGTATTAAGTAATAATAATTGGCAATTCTGCTTTGCTCTGGAACTCAAGCGAATTTTGTGATTCTGACTTTGGAAGAACAGGGCAACTGTAACTTTAGCTAAAACACAAAAAAGACCAGTGTGATATTTTCATTTATGTCTGGTGACTAAGACAGGGTCGAACTGATTATGGTAAAAAAATATGTTAGCTGTATATTAATACTAACTTTGCAAAGCTGAGTAACTATTGCTCAGCTATACATCATAACTATACATTGTAACTATTACAAAGGAGGAACGTGTTGAACTTTGTGAAACCTAATTTTATCAGGAAAAGGCAGAGAGAAAGGAAAATTGCTAAGATAACAGCCACTCTTGAGAAAGTACACATTAATTCCTCTAATACAATAAGTAATCCTTTAACCAATAAATTTAAATTAGAGGCATATAGGCCCTTCCTGGTGGGCCAGCGGGTTAAAGCACAGCACTAAGAAGCTAAAGCCACTTCACTTCCTCAGTTCCAGCAGTTCAATTCCCGCCTGCCCTAGAGGCGACCACATGATGTGGCAGACATCACCTGACCCGCCCTGCTGCTCCCCTCAGCAGTGTACTTCCTAGATCTGCCTGTTCTGTTCCCCACTGTCTCTGGTGAAGCCTCTTGCCGCCCCTTAGCCTCTGGCCTGTACCCCAGTTCTGTACGCGCAAATAAATTTAAAAAAAAAATTAGAGGCATATATAAAAAAGGGTGGGGATGTTGAAACATTCTTGATAAGAACAAAGAATAAATGGTTCATTAAAGCATCAAATGGTAAAGCAAAAGAAATTGTTGTAAAGACTCATTCGAATTGATTATATTGTCAAAGAAATGCTCAGAAAAGAGTGCATTATACTTACAACGTTAGTCTAAATCTCTGGTCAGAAATTCTGTACATCTTATTTTTATCTGTAGAGACTTACTGGTGATGTCACTGATGATTATGTAAGGACTCTGTCTCCAAAGTTCTCTTCATGTCTATGCTTGTAGTTTCAAAGATAGGAATAGTATTTCCTTGAAGGACAGAGAGAGTTGTTGTAACTTAACAAGGTCATTCCTTCCTCCAACCCAAATTTGATTGGATTTGCTAGGAGTTGGCTAAAATTGGACTTCCTCCATTCTGATACCTTTTGCTTATGCAGTGTTTGATCCTGTGGGACTTGAGAGCAAGGAGAATCTAAGAAAGCCTGACGCTCATGCTGCCAGTTGTGCTATGAGTAATAAAGTCTTTTGTTTCAGATAAAGGAATCTCATGCCTTTTCTCAGCTGCCATAAAGGCTATTTGTTATTTTACCAGTAGGAAGAAATATTAGATTCATCACGGTTCTTGTTAATGTTAAAGACCCCAAACCAAAAGAGTGTGTCCTTTGCCCTCTAGGGAAGGCAAAATTCAATAGAAAGTTTTGGCCCAGTAATGAAAAAGAGAACCAGACAAAGTTTATGACAGGCAGGAACTTTATTGCACTCCGGGAAGAGATTCCCCAGCCTCTGAGACTTGAGATCAGAGAAGCGGTGCCCGTTGGGAGACAAGGGTAAGCTTTTATAAAGCTTCGAAGTTGCTTTTTTTAGACAATTGTATAAGGTGGGCAGAGCTGGTCCCCAAATGCAAGGGGCGGAAGTTCTAAGTTCCTCTTTCCAACCTCTGCCTTGCCCCAGCTTTGACCTTACAATAAATGCTATGGAAAATGAAACAAGAGCAGGGGTAGATGAAGGAAGTGACAGTAGGTTGCAATACTAAGTGACAGTTTAGGGTAGCCTTCTGCCAATAAGAAGGAAATTTTTGAGCAAATAATAAAAGTATGACCAAGTCAGACAAATAGTTATGTGTAGGTGAGTGTATTCCTGATAGAACTAGAGATATGGCCTATAGGCAAAAGCCTGCTGATCTGTTTAAAGAACAATAGGGAGCGCAAATATGGAGTAGAATGAGCCAGAAAGAAAACTTTAGGAGGGACTCAGAGCAGGGAACTGGGACAGATCACTCAGAGCCTTTCCAGGCCATTATAAGGTCTTCCTTACACTCTGGCTGCAATAAGGAGCCCTTGTGTTATAGGGCACCTCAATTCTGTTTTGGACAGGGGGAGAGGGACACCCCTGAAGCCCCAAAACCTGCCTGCTCTAAGTGGGTTCTGCCATCCGCCGCAACAAGACAAAACATATATAGCTTTAATGAAAAGTGACTTTAATACAGTGAATATACAAAATGGAACACAAAGAATATAATTTCTTAAACACCTGAAGTTACCTATCCCCTCGTGGGCAAAAGTCAACCCAAAAGGGATTGGCCCAAAGCAAGGCCTAAAAGCCTGCCACAAGACTAAAGCACCTTCTGGCCGGGACCCATGGAAAAGGGTCAGAAATGGCCAGACAAATCTGGGAGGAAAAGAGCAAAAGCAAAATCAATATAAACACTGCCATAGTCACCTCCCTACAGGTCTCTCACCCACATCTGCCTTAACCAGTCCAGGGTCAGGAAACAAGCCTGGTTTCTTCATCACATGTTTGCTGCTCCATGTGGCTTCCTTAGGTCTCCTCCTTCTCCATCTGGCCTCCTTCTCTTCTTCTTCTCTCTCCTTTTTCTCTGCTCAGTTCCACCCTCCTTCTGGGTGGGGCAGGGAACCTGGAACTTCCCTTCTCCTAGGGACCACCCAATTACACCTGGAAGGTTTGGAGCCTATACAGAACCTGACAGGACTTAATTTCAAAAGAACACTTTCAGTTTTTTTCACGATAAACTAAAGGCAGTTTTTGTAGAAGCAAAGAGATCTGTTAGCACTATGCTGGTAATGTAAAGAGGGCCATGATTTACTAGAATGTAGTAGTTGAAATGGTGAAAGGTAGTGAAATTAATTTATGTCTTTAAGGTTGAACCAGCAGGATTCACTGAGTTTTGGGTGTGTACTTTAATGATATGGTGATAGTTAAACCCAGAGAGAATTCCTATAGACCACCCAGCCCTTTTCTGCTTTTGTGATTGTTCACTTCCTATATTCTGTAGAACCCCGCTTACTTCCTCTCTATTCTCTCATTCTTCCTTCATAACACCCTGTGCCCTCTGTGCAAATCAACATTGACTTTGGTTCACATTGGGACTCTTTTTTTCCCTTGTTGTAATAATGTATTGCCAGTGAAAATCAGCTTTAACGCCTATAGATAGTAACTCTGGCTTTAACTCATCTCTGCCAGTGAAGGAGACTGTAGGAATTGTTGGGGATGGCCAAATTAAGAATCAATACCAGACATATTAGATCTTTGATGCCTATGAGATGAACTCTGTCAGGTAGGTTGCTGACCTAAGAAGCTGACTGGAGTAAAAGAATAGTAAGGGTGCTACTGAGAACTCAGCATCTGTATCTTAAAATGCCTTGCTATTCTCCACAAGATACTGTTGCTCCACAAGCAACTGTGGAGAAGCAGCAAAGAACATAGTGGGCAGTGATAAATGTTCCTCCAAAATGGCCCTAAAATAAAAACAAGCTCCTAGGGCCAGTAATGTTGCAGGGCAGGGAGAGAGAGGCACCCCTGGACCCCCAAACTGGCCTGCTCTAAATAGGTTCTGCCATCTGCCACATCAAGATAAGACATAAGAGATTTAATGGAAAGGAACTTTAATACAGTGAGTATATAATACAGGAAAAGCAAAGAGTATAATTTTTCAATCAAATACCTGAAGTTATCCATCCCCTCATGGGTAAAAGTCTACCCAAAGGGATTGCCCCAAATCAAGGTCTGAAAGCCTGTCACAAGACTAAAGCACTTTCTGGCTGGGACCCATAGAAAAGGATCAGAAATGTCCAGACAAATATGGAAGGAAAAGAGCAAAATCAAAATTAAGATAAAAGCTGCCATAGTCAACATCCCCAGTCTCTCACCTGTCGTGGAGACTCTTTGTCCCCGATCACGGATTATTGGGGGGCAGAACAGGCAGGGTCTCAGGGTGGGAAAGGCATCGGCGAGTGGAGAGCAGAGATTCCTAGAAAAAGGGGGAAAAGGGAAATAAGAGGAATGGGCACGAGGAAGACATGGGAATGTGAGTTGAGTGCAAGTCCTCCTGCTCTGCCTTCAGCAGAGGTTTATTTTATACATTTTAAACAGGCAGAGGGATTACATTAGCATATGAAATGGGCTGAGATCACAATCACCTTTTTTTAAGAATAGTCTGGGGTCATTTTGACATTTAGTTGAGATTATAACATTTTTAAAATCAATCTATCAAGGTTAAAGCAGGTACATAGATTTGCAGAGTTTAAGACTAATATTAGTATATTTACCACAGTGAAGATTAGCCAAAATAAAGTCCCTGAAACATTATCTATTA